TAGAAGGGCATATATATGTGTGTATGTATGTGTACATATATGCTTGAGTATATAGATACACTTGCTGTTTCTTATAACTGGATGTGAGAGAAGAGTATACATTTGCATGTGTGTGTGTATATGTGTATTGTACATATATATGCTTGAGTATATAAACTTTCTACTTCTTATAGAGAGGAGACATGTGTATGTATGTATGTATGTATGTATGTATGTATTTATGTGCATACACAAATAGAAAAGCATAGGAGAGCTTGTATCCAATGAACTTTATAATAATTGTAGCCACAATTAGTATTTTAAGACTCACAGAGTTTGTTGAAGAGATTTATCAGTCAACAGGGAAACAAGGGAGGACAGAAATGGGAGCAGGTTAAGACAGGACAATACTGGGAAGGGAGGAGCTGGAAGCAACACAAGCTTCCTTGTCCTGAAGGCGCAATTAAAAGGGAAAAAATGCAAAACAAAGAACCAGAATTTAAGGGGATTCTTTACATTGTCTCTTAGACAATAAAAAGCATGGTATATTAATGTAATGGAATATCCTTGGGCCGTAAGAACTGACAAAAGAGAATTTCAGAGAATCCTGGGGTAGTATGACGTGATGAAGAATGAAGGGAACCAAGCCAGAAGAGCGGTTCATACAAGAACAGCCACACTGCGTGGAAAAAGAACTCTGAAAGACTTTAAAACTCTGACCAATTCACTGGTGAGCAATGTTAGCTGGCTGACATTGGACATATGATACTCACACTCTTTTGACAGAAAGGTGATGGATTCGAAACACAAAATGTTACAGGAATTTATAATTTCCTTTATTTCTCCTGCAACTTTTGGTTAATATTAACCTGACTTGACCAAAACCTGTCAGGTTTGTTTTGGACGTAACAAGTTTGAGATGCTTCTATGCAAAGTCAGCCTGGGCGACTTCATGTTTAAACCATGCTTAACCTTTGATTACATGTGCAGCCAGCCTGCAAGAGATAGTGGTCTGGAAATTTCCTTGCGCATTTGTAGTTGGACATGGGGAAAACTGAGATGGCATAAAATCCATTTCCTCATACCTATGCCAATCAGTATTTTTACCCTTATATGGAAATTATTTACTCCTGCCTATAAAAGCTGTTCACAGTTTAAAAATCAGTGCAGGTCACTCCCCGATTCTTGCTGCCTTGGTGTGCTAATAAACTACCTTTATCTTATTTCCTTAGTCTGCTTCACTGACCAGGGCAAGGCCTGAACCAGGATTTTTTTTTCTTAACACCTATGGGTCATCCAGTCTAAAATGTCCAAAGGCAATTGGTGATGTGGGGACTGGAGTTCAAAAGAGAGATTAGAGCTGCATATAGAGATATGGGAGTTATATGTCCAGAGATAACTGAACCCAAGGTAGCAGATAAAGTAATCAAACGAGATGGTGTACAGAAAAAGAAAGGGTGAGAGAGAGAGAGAGAGAGAGAGAGAGAGAGAGAGAGAGAGAGAGAGGTATTAAGGAGTCGTCAGATTGGAGAATTAGGAGAGAATAGTGTTACAGAAACCCAGAGAGGAGATAATATTCAGAAGGATATATAAAGATATATAAAGACATTTTTTGTCTTTCTGCACCTTGAATTTATCACCTGTCTGTCAGGAGGTGGGTATTATCCTTCATCACTGATTTTCTGGAATTAAGGTTGGTCACTGCAATGATCAGAGTTCTTCAAAGTCTTTCAAGGTTGTTAGTCTTTATGATTTTGTTGTTAATGTATAAATTGCTTTCCTGATTTAGTTCATGTCACTCTGCATAAGTTTATACAAGTCTTCCTACACTGTTTTTAAACCATCTCTTTGGTCATCACTTCTTATTATTCCATTATATCCATTTGACATAATTTGTTCAGTCCTTCCCCAATTGATAGGCACCCCCTTAATCTAGAATTCTTTGCCAGTACAAAAAAAAAAGCTGCCACAAATACTTTTTCACATTTAAGACCTTTTTCTCTTTAACTTCTTCAGGGAATAGGCCTGAAAGTGTTTTGACTTTAGTTTCAAATTGTTTTCTAGAATGTGTGCACCAATTTAGTTAAACTAACATGGCGTTAATGGACCTGTTTTCCCTCAGTCTCTCTAACTCCCTCTTTTTTGGGTCATGTCAATCAAATTTCTTTGAGGTAGAACCTCAGAGTTAATTTAATTTTTTGTTCCTCTAATTATTAGTCATTTGCAGCATTTTTCATGTAACTACTAATTACTTGGATTTTTTCCTTAGAAAACTTACTGCTCATATCCTTTGACCACTTATCAATTGGGGAATGGCTCTTGTTCTTATAAATTTGTAACCAGTTCCTTATATATTTTGGAAATAAGGCTGTCTTGAAAGAAACATACTTAAAAGATTTTTTTACCCAGTTACCTATTTACATTCTAATCTAAATTACATTGAATTTGTGTAAACATTTTAAGATTTTATGTCATTAAAATTATCCACTTTAATCTTCTGTGACCCTCATTTGGTTATGAACTCTTCCCCTATCCATTGATCAGAAAGGTAATTTATTCCATGCTCCTCTAATTTGTTTATCTTGTCAGTTTTTATGACTAAGTCATATGAATGTGGAGCTTTTCATGATAGACAGTGAGATTTTGGTCTATACCTAGTTTCTGGCAGGCTGCTTGCTAGTTTCTTACAGCAGTTTTTGTCAAACAGTAAACACTTATCCTTGTAAACTGGGGTCTCTGGGTTTATCAAAAAATAAGGTTATTATGTTCATTTGCTTCTGTTTTCAAACAGTTTATATAATATTAGAGTGAATTGTTCTTTGAATATTTGATAGAATTTCTTGTAAATCCATCTGGTCCAGATTTTGTGAGTTGTGTGTGTTTATAGTTTGTTCAATTTATTTTTCAGAGATTATATCATTTAAATCACCTCTTCCTTATTCTGTTAAGGTAGGAATTTTATATTTTTGTAAATGTTTATCCATTTTGTTTGTTTTATTATATAATTAGGCAAAATAATTTTTTATTGTATTTTTTAATTTGTATTGAAATCTTTTAAAAATTTTGATACTAGAATTTGGTTTTCCTATTCCTTTTTAAAAAATCAAATTAGGTAATGGTTTATCAATTTTGTTGTTTTTAAAGCACTGCATTTCATTAAGTTGATAACTTTTTGTTTTATTCGCAATTTTGTTAAGCTTATCTTTGACTTTCAGATGTTTCTATTTCGATGCTTATTTGGAGTTTTAAAATTTGGGTTTTTAAATTTTTCTTTTTAGTCATATACCTAATTTATTCATTTGTTCTTTATTGCTTTTGTTGATGAAAATCTTTAGAAATAGAAAATTTCCCATAAGGACTGCTTTATTGCATCCCACAATTTTTGGTATGCTGTTTCAGTGTTATCATCACATTAAACAAAATCATGTTTTGCTTCTATAGTTTATTTTCTGACCTACTAATTACTTAGGATTGAGTTATTTAATCTCCAATTAACTTTTAATTTTTTCTTCAGTAGCCTATTATACTGTGGTCAGTAAAAGATATGTTTAATATGTCTAGTTTTCTACATTTGTTTGTAAGGATTTTATGCTCTAACACATCATTATTTTTTGAACAGGTGTCATATAAAGCTGAGAAATATATATACACACATACCTTCCTATTCTCATTCAATAACCACCACATGTCCATAATTTAACTTTTCTAAAATTCTATTCTATTCTAAATTTATTTTTTTGGTTGGATTTGTCTAGGTATGAAAATGCGTATGTTGAAGATCTTCATTATTATAGATTTATTGCCAATTTCTTCCAGTAACCCATTAACTTTTCCTTTAAAAATTTAGATGCTATCATATTTGTTGCATATATATTAAGTATTTATATTAATTCTTTACCTATAGTATAGTTCAGCGTAATATATCTTCCCTGTTTGTCTCTTCAAATAAAGTTTCTCTCTTTTTTTTTCCACTGCTGCCTTATCTGAGAGATCATGATTGCTATTCATGCCCTTTCAATTTCAGCAGAAGCATGATAGATAAGATTTTTGTTATAACTCTGCATGAATCATTATGTTTCAGGTGTGTTTCTTACAAAGAAGAATTCATTCTGCTATTGTGTTCCATTTTAAGGGTAAGCTCATCCCATTAACAATTATGAATGCCAATTGTCTATTTTCCTCCATCCTATAATCATAATTTTCCTTTCTTTGCTTTCTTCTCCTTCTTTATAAAGAAGAGGGTGGTGAGAGAGAAGGAATGAGCTTACTTAGCACTAGTGCTCTATGCCTAATATAATATTTTACTGCTCCCATGCCCCTCTTCTTTTTCTGTTGTCCAACACTCAATCACCCACTCTACCTCCCTCTCTTCCTTCCTTCCTTCCATCCTTCCTTCCTAATGACTCTTTGGAATTGATCTTCCAAGGTTAGAGTTTTTGCTTTGCCTTTGCTCAGTGCTAATCTCTCCCTGAATATATTCTATCATTATTTCTTCTCTCCTCCTCCTATTCCTTCTCTTTTCTTATGTTTAGTGCAATGTATTTCACCCAAATTTGTGTGTATTCTATCATCCACTGACCAAGTCAGATGAAAATGAGGTTCGAGTGTTGCCCCCCATTCTTTCCTCATTTGCATAGTCTTCTATGTTTGCAACCTAGTGATGGGGTTATTCTATTATACAGAGAACTACATGATTACAAGTTGGAAGTTGTTCTCAGTATCTTGGAGAATATCCTACATACACTGAATTAGATTTTCTAGGAAGTAGCTATGAGCCAAGAGACAGAAAATCTTTAAAGGACACCAGGGCCTTAACTGTCATGATGACTCCTGGCATAAAGTTTACATTGCCTAAAGTATGACCACACAGTCAGGTACAAGTTTTCTCTGAGGAGCACTGGAATTAGCAAAAGCTTAAGTCTAAAAGACAGTTGTCACTATAGGGAAACATTTTCTAGACATGCTAATCACCATGCATATCCTATAACCCTATTGGTAAAGAACATTAGCAAACTACTTACTGCAAAGAGGCTTGTATTCTTTTCTTGAATCATGGACTCCAACAGTGTATGGCTCATTTTAATGACATTTTCAATATAGGGTAAGCAGCTTGACTGATATTCAAGACTTACAACCTTGATAATATTAATGCGTTTTTCAACAGCCATATAAACAACATCTCTAAAATAGTCTGTGTATACATCCAAGATATCTTTAAAATCACTTGAGGTTAATTGTTCTTGTAGTCTTGATATTTTGTATGCCATTTTCTTTGCTTGTTCTACCATGGTACAAAATCGAAGAAATTGGTGGCTATAACATTCAACTCGTGCCGTTGAATTACCAACAATGGTCAGAAGGTTCACAATCTGTAAATAAATTATTAACAGTTAGTTAGGAATTACAATGGACACTAAGAAACCTCATTTTTAATACTTTCTATTAAATTTAAATTATTTACTCACTTTGAAAAGTTAATTTCATTAAGCTAAATTCAGGACTAAATTTTATTAGGCTAAAGATCAGTTCTAAATGCCCAAACTGCTGTAGAAAACAAAGATAGGAGTCTGTGAAATATTCAGACTGACATTTCTTCTTTACATCACTCTTTCCAGAATGGCAGAATTAAAAATGGTGATGATGATGATGATGATGATGATGATGATGATGATGATGATAAAGACAGCTAACATTTGCATAGCACTTACTATGTGCCTGACACTGCTTTGCAAATATTATCTCAGTTCATCCTCACAACAACTCTAGGAGGTAGGTGTTTTTATTTCCATTTTGCAGTTGGGGAAACTGAGGCAAACAGAGGTTAAGTGATTTGCCAAGGATCACACACCTAGTAAGTGTCTGAGGCCAAATTTGAACTCAGGTCTTCCTGACTCTGGACTTGGTACTAGATTTGGATAATCACTTTACAAATTCAGATCTTATTTTGAGCTTTGTTACTAAACTCACGTTGCTTTGGTAGGCAGGATCCATTTCAAACAGGACAGAGTAATCTGGCCATCTTGTCAGTATTTTCTGTCTCTCCAATTCTTGTTCACTAGGTATTTGCATAGTCATAGGATCAAAGAAAAAGATAAACAGGCGCTGATCTTGACTGAAAGGAATAAAGTGAGCTAAAAAACACAATTTAAAAAATTAGTATTTTAGCAGTCCCATCTATAACAACTCTTAAATCCTACTCATAGCACTTATAGCTATTAAGAAATAGGGCTGGTAAAATAAGAGATGATATGATATTGATGGAGGGTCTTCAATGTTAAGTGGATTTGCATTTAATAGGGGGAAAAAAGGATTGCAGGAGTGACACACTGAAAATCGTGTTCAGGGAAAAGTTCTGGAATAACTTGGTACAGGATGTACCAAGATAAGAAGAGTGAGGCAGGAGAAAAGAAGACCAGTTACTGGGTTATTGTAGTAGGGGTGTGGGTGTGAGGTGATCAGAGTTTAAACAAGGGCAGTAACTTTGAAAACAGGAAGTAAAGATCTGTGTTAGTATAGAAATGTTAGAAAAAATTTTTGAATCTTTGTTAGAGATGAAGAAAAAGGGAGAGAAAAGGAGCAGTTTTAATCCTCTGCAACTCAGAGGATAGCAAAGGTAATGTTAGTGATAAACACATTGTTTTCTGTTTTAGAAATGATTAATTAATCTGTTTTACAATGTTTAGCTTCCTCCCTTGTAAATATTTTTTAAAAATCCCAGTGGCTCCTCATTTTCGGTTGTTTTTTCCCCAAGGCTCTACTTTGTGCTCTCTGGCCTTCTCACCGTTGGAATCCTTGGATTCCAAGAAAGTTTATCTGTTCGTGTAGTATCAACTACGCCCTTTCTAGATGTTATTTCTGACCCTGACTTTTCCTTAATTGTTTTTTTATCGCCATGGGCTTTTATTTCTAGCCAACATCTGTTTATATGTCAAAATACACAGCTCACCAAATTCTCTCTCTTCTGAGTTTCACAGGTTTTAAACATTAATTTTCAGGTACTGCTTGAGCCTATAGGAAGCAATAGATATGAAACTGGGAAAAAGTCAGGGTTGGAAACATCTGCAAAGACAGTTGTTTAAGCCACATGAGCAGATGATTTCCCTTAGAAACTTAAGAGTTTCTAATAATTCTAGAGCAGAGGTGTTAGCCTATGGGTTGTGCTGGGTTGCTTGCAGCCCACAGCACTCCTGAGTGCTACCCAAACCAGATTAAAATATAATCAGAAAATATTTAACAAAATAAAAATATGATAAAAAACACAGGTAATATTAACATGTGGTTTTCTAAGCCAATATGTGGCTCACAGGTTTTCTAATGTATAGTTCAGTGGCCTGCATTCCTGAGCTTGACACCATTGCTCTAGAGTAAAAGAAAGTCAAAGTCTGAATTTAAAAAAAAGGAGTCAGTATGGGGTGAGTGTTCACAAGGGAAGAAATCAATGTGGTGAAATGGAGACAGAAAAAAGTCAGAAAATAAAAGAGAGAAGAAAAGAAAGAACAGTGATACATATTTCATTGCGGGGTTTATTTGTAATAATTAATAAAATTCTAAGTCTGGTGACTTCTGTGAAACTCCCAAGTACCATTAGAAGAGAATTATCTTAGCAAAGTGTTGAAAGGCTGATCGCTAGGATGCTAGAACATTGTGCTTTACTTTTTCCATTTTCTGTCCTAATTTATTCAAATCTCTTTTGACAACTCTTTATTCATATACATGTTTTATAATATTTTTTATAAAATCAAAGTTCTTTTCCTATTTTTTTAAGGCATCAAAATGTTCATCTATGAGAGGTAATAGCAACCATCTTCTAGCAATTGATTTAATTATTTCTTTGTACAAATATAATTTTTCTGCCCTTTTCATACTACGTTGTTACATATGAAAAGGACAGTAGTTTACTATAATAAGAAAAATGAACACCCATGAAAATAACTACAACTTTTTGTGCCAACACTGGTTAGCATAAAAAGGCAGGAAAAAAACTTGATAAACAATTTGAAAAACTCCCAGAAGTCCAATCTAACATTACACTAATACTGGAGCTCATAGATTGGACAACAATAGGTCCCTGTCCAAGCACCATTTCATGGTTATTTTTTGAGCCCTCTTGTGCAGAGTGAATATAAATAGTAACCATATCTTTTGTGGCCAGCAGCCCTGAGGGTCTTCTCCACCCCCAGTTTGATTTCTTTTTTTTATTAAAGGGACCACCCCTTGACTCACTTCTTAAAGAGGCCTATTCACTGAATGGGTGTTGCCTCACTCAAAGTGAGAACCTGAAAAGACCTTAGTTTAAAAGGGCCGGGATCTTCCATTGCACCCTGAGCCTTCTCCAGGTGTCCTGATGAATATTTGGCCACTGGACCCAGATGGCTCTGGAGGAGACAGTGAGGCTGATGATCTTGCACAGCCCTCCCTCATTCAAATCAAAGTCAACTGCAAGTCATGTCATCACCTCCCTGATGTCATGGTCCTCTTCAAGAATGAAGGACAAACGCAACATTAATACACAAGGATATTAATGGGAAAAAAAATGAGAAGATAGAGAAAAATATGTTGGGAGATAGGGTTCAAGATTAAAAAATTAAAGTGGCCAAAGGTCAGGTAAATGTCACAGACTATGCAGAATACCCATGTTTAATATTTCATGAATACCTGCTTCAAAAAACGTTCAAGGGACTAGATATAAGGTGGAATGCATGTCACATATATAGACAAAAATATGGCTACTGACAGGTAGAAAATGCCTGTTTACAAATGTAGGAATCATGTAATAATAATGTTGATAGTAATAATAATAGCGAGCATTTATATAGTGCCTACTATGTGCTACATACTGTACTAGGTGCTTTATAAATACTATCTCATTTGGTCATCACAACCATCGCAGGAGGTTGTTATCCCGATTTTATAGTTGAGGAAACTGAGGCAAACAGAGGTTAAGTGACTTGCCCATGGTCACACAGCCAATAAATATCTGAGGCCATCAGTCTTCCTGACTTTAGGCTTTGCATTCTATCCATGAAGCCACCTAGCTGCCATTTCCAAGTCAGCTTCCTGTATAAGATTAAACCCAACACCAAACATGAAAAGATTCAGATAAGGAAAAAAACTTGTTAAACAACAACATGATCTAACAAATGAGCTCTTGATGGAGACACATGAGCCATCACTATTCCCTATAGAACTTTATCAACACATCAGGGAGCGTTTACAGTAGTTCAGCAAGAGATGACAGGCAAGTATCTGAATGAGGGTGACTATGTGACTGGGGAGAAGGGGAAGGGTGTGAGACACGCCATGGAAATGTGCTCAGTAAGACTTTACTACTGACTGGCTATATGGGGATAGAGGAGCAGAAGGGTCAAGGATGTATCTGAAGTTACAAACCTGGATAACCAGAAAGATGGCGGGCTCATCAATAGAAACGGGACATTTGCAGGAGGAACAGATTTAGGGAGAAAGATCATGAGTTCTGGTTTGGACATAATGAGTTTAGGATTCAGGATATCCAAGAGAAGCAACTGATGATGTAAGACTAGGATTTAGGAGAGAAATTTGGATCATTGCTGCCCAGATCTTTATTTCCAGATCCAGTCACTCTCCTGAGAGCCATTATTATCTCACATTATTAACTGCCTATTTAACATTTGAAAATGCTTGTGGGATAGGTATCTCAAAATTCATTTTTCTTCCAAAACTCACTGCTTTCTGAACTTTTGGCATCACTATCCTTGCAGCCAGCCAGGTTTCTGCCTCCACAACTTCTTTCATATATAGTTGAGTCCTTGTTTCTCCACCAACACAGCCACCATTCTATTCTAAGACCACACATCTCCTCCCATCTGGATTCTTGTAATAGCTTCCTAGTTGATCTCCCAGCTTCTCCTCTCTCCCATCTCCAATCCATCCTCCAAACAGCTGACGAGCGATATTTATGAAGTCCAGATCTGACCATGTCGCCCTCCTTCTCTATGAGCTCCACTGGTTCCTGATTATTTCCAGGATCAGATACAGTCTTCTGTTTGGCATTTACAGCCCTTCACAACCTGATGACAATCTTCCTTCCCAGACTTTTTATATATTGCTCCTCTTCAAGCTTTCTACAATCCAGTCAAATTAGGATTCCTACTATTCCTCATACATAACATTCCCATCTCCTTTCACCATGCTTTTGAATAGGTTGGCCCCCATGCTTAGAATGCAATCCTTCACCTCTCTGTTTCAAGACTCAATTCAAGCATTATCTTCTACATGAAGCTATTTCTGATCCCCCAACTGCTGGTTCCCTCTCTCCCTAATCTTACATTTATTTGCATTTATTCTCTATGGTACTTGTCTCCTTAGTTAAAACAAAAGCTTATAAAAAATAGGAATTGTATTACTTTGTAATTGTTTTCCTGGTATAATGTAAGGCAGCTAGCAGTAGATAGAGCACTGGGCCTGGAGTCAGGAACCTGAGTTGAAATCCGACTTCAGACACTAACTGCATGACCCTGGGCAAATCACTTACCCTGTGTTTGCCTTAATTCACTGGAGAAGGAAAAGGCAAATCACTTCACTATCTTTGCCAAGAAAACCTAACGGACAGTATGATCCATGGGGTCGTGAAGAGCTGGACACAACTAAAAGGCTGAACAACAACAAAAACAATAGTACAATGCTAAGTACTAATAGTTTCTTACAGAATACTTGCTTATTGATTGATGAGTAGGCAGGATACAGGCATATGGGAAGAGAAAGGTAAAAAATGTAGACAATATGTTATTAGTATATGAAGTTGGAAGATTAGAGGGAGAGGATGGGCCAGGCAGAAGGACACAAACCCTTGGGCAGTTATGGAGCATGCTAAAGTTTTAGAGGAAATGCTTTGCCACCACAATTCTGCTATCTTGTAGTGCTGATGGGATTTGCAGTTTTCTAAGGCCACTTGGTGGTGAAGAACTACCTGGTGAAGTTAAATATTCTCACAGAGCAGTACAGTGAAAGAACCCCAAAACTATGCTACATAGTAGAGCCAAAAGAACCTTGAACTGGGCTTCTAAACACTTAAGTTCTTCCAGCGCAAACTATGAACTTGGACAAGTTGTTTTATTTCTCTTGGTCTCAGTTTTTGTAAAACCAGTGGGTTGGGCCCAATAAAAACAACTCATTTTTATAACTTATGCTTTAAGGTCTGCAGAGTGTTTTCCTCACATCAACCTTCTAAGAAGGGCAGTGAAAGGATTGTCATTCTCATTTTAGAGATAAGGAAAAGAAGTCACACAGCTAGTCAATGCCTGAGGCAGAATTTGAACTCTGATCTCCTTATCCAAGGTAGTCACATTCTCTATGAGGATTCTGAATATATATTAGTTTTTAGAAGGCTACAATATGCAGTGACCTTGTACCCTTATGACTTTTCTTATTTTCCTTCATAATCTCCATGACTGTCTTTATTTATAGATTGTTATTCAAAGGAAATTGGGTAGATTTTAGCTTAGGCCAGTCAGTCAACAAGCATTTAACAAATACTTACTATGTACCAGGCACTATGCTAAGTGCTAGGGATTCAAAAACAGACTCTCTCAAGAGAGAAGGCAGGAGTAATGAGTTAAAAAGTCTCAAGAATGAACTCTGTGATAACTAGGCTGTCTGATTAATTAATGAATTAATGAAGCCTCACCAGTGCTTCATAGGCCAGAAAACAAGAAATTGTAGCATGCTCTCCAAAATCCCATACACTCATTGCTTATATTTCTGATCATCTGCTGTACACTATTTCTTAGCTTTTTCCTTTACGCATCATTATGGAAGGAGCAAACAGAACCATTTTGAGACCACACCACCAAATATACATATTGCTCTAAATGGATCATTTAAAATATAAACGTACTTAGAGATTTTTCAAAATTATTTATCACTTCCTGAATTTTCTTGGAAAATTCCAATCTGTTGGGAGTTAGGAAGAGATTTGCATGGAATTCAGGAACGCTATAAAAGAAAATAATAGAAATTTTAGAGCAATGCAGTAAATGACATGAAACTTTTTTTTTTTGCTTGGAATCACACAATTTTCTGACACTTACTCTATATACTTCATTATGTAGCTGTCTTCTTGGTCCACTGAAGATTTTTCTTCTATTTTATTAGTAAAAAGAAAGAGTAAAAACTAAGTGAAGGCTGGATCAGCAAAATGAAAGGTTGGTAAACATGGATAGAGAATAAAATTAATTACTATTAGCAAAAAAGGATACTCAGCTCATAAATGAAACAAATAAATTTTACTATGAATCTATTTATGATCATTTTGAAGATGCATTTTAAGCCAATTTACCAAATGCATGCAACTTATACACAAGCTATGTAAAACAGAAAATACTTTCTTTTTTCTTTTTAATATTTTCTAGCTATTATTTCATAGAATCATAAGATCACACATCTAGATCCAGAAGGGATTTTAGAAGTTATCTAGTCTGATGCTTTCATTTCATAGATAAGCAAAATGAAACCTAGGGAGGAGGAGAAGGAGGAGAGGAGAAATAGCAGCATTATCTAACTTCTTACTTGAATTGGAAGGGTCTCAGAGGGCTACTGCTATGCTCAGATAACATGGTAATAAAAAACATTCTCCTTAAATCTAGTTCACTACTTCCCACAAATACATATAGCATCCATGGGAGATTAAAAGACTTATACCAAGTCACAGAGGTTATAGGTGACTGGGGGGGGCAGTGGGGTGAATTTGAACCCAAATTGTCTCACTACTAGGCCAGTGACTTTTCCACTGTACCATTCAGTAAGACTGTTTAAGGTTTTTCATCTGTAATGGCCTTATTCATCTTTTTTAATATTTCCAAAGATAAGTGGTTTTATTGGTGTGAATATACCTTCCGTCAATGTAGCTACAAGCCCTTTGCATCTTAGTAAATGGACTTTGCCAGTTATCATTGGTTGAGCCTTGCTCCTGAAGAATAGCTGATTAAAAACCTAGGATAACAGGAACATATGTTTAGAGGCCATCAAGTCCAATTCCTTCATTTTAAAGATGGGGAAAATGAGACAGAATAAAGTTAAGAGATTTGTCTAGGTTCACATAGCTGTAAGTGTCTTGAGATAGAATTTGAATCCAAGTATTTCCAACACCAAGTCTAGAGCCCTATCTATTATGCCATGATGCCTATCTTCCCCCTTATTGATAAAAAAGTGGAGGGCTATGAATGCAGAATATAATACATATTGTCAGATCTGGTCACTTGGTCAAATTGTTTTTTCTTAATTGTCTTTCCTTACCAGGGAAGATTAAATGGAGGAGATGAGTATATTAAGAAATGATAATGAGGGGCAGCTAGGTGGTGCAGTGGATAGAGCACTGGCCCTGGATTCAGGAGGACCTGAGTTTAAATCTGGCCTCAGGCACATAACGCTTACTAGCTGTGTGACCCTGGGCAAGTCACTTAACCCCATTGCCTAACCAAAAAAAAAAAAAAAAAGAAAGAAAGAAATGATAGGACCTATGACTGAATTGTTTCCAGTTTGGTGGTACCTGCAAAGCTGGTAGAGAATTTTAAGAACTTTGGATTGCCTCCATGCTGTGAGGTATCAGAAGGCAAAATAAAGTGCCCATTTTTCTTACCAGAAAGTTTTTCTTCAGTGTTAGATCGTAATTTATGTTTTCTTCTGGGAATTCTGGAAAATAGTACATCTAATGTTTTGGTGGAAACATCGAATGGATTATTTAATTTCATTTCATCCAAAGGCTCTGAAAGTTTGCGTTGAAAACCGTCATGCTCAAATAAGGAATCTGGAACACTGTCAAATGAATCATCCCCCATATAAAAAGTTTTTCGAGGAATTTTCAAATGTATATGTACTTCAAATACTGCCTCATTTTGCCTACTTGATTCTTTTTTCAAACTGAGATTCTTGGACATCTAATTCAAGAGGCATGATAAGATGTCAGCGATATCTTATAATTTACATTTAAAATCTTTCAAAACTCAAATGAGAAAATGAAAAACAGCATAAGACCAAATTCCAGCCATTGAATAACACATTCTGCCCTCATACTACCATATACTTTAACATTCATATATGAATACAAACAAATAGAAGAATTACTTCCAATTCATTCATACTGAATAAACTAAGAAAATAGTTCAAATTCCATTGTGATGAACTGCATTTTATTGTGCCAATTCCATCTTTATATTAGAATCATGCAGCAGTAGGCAACCTGGGGCTTCAAGGTCACATGTGGCTCTCTAGGTCCTCAAGTGCAGCCCTTTGACTGAGTCTGAACTTCACAGAATAAATCTCCTTAATAAAATGGTTTGTTTTGTAAAACTTGGACTCAGTCAAAAGGCTGCACCCAAGAATCTGGAAGGCCACATGTGGCCTGGAGGCAGGAGGTTCCCCACCCCTGGTATAGAATATCTAGCCAAAGGATCACATTTTTCAAGTAAATCCTAAACTAACCAAACTTCAAATAATTTTCATAGCAGTCATAGATTACTACTTAAATATGTACAATACTTTAACATGGTGCTAAATAAAATGAAAAAGAAATACTAAGTTGACACTTTGATTAAAATTTCAATTCCCAAAGTACAAGATGGTAAAGAGTCATGCCTAGATTCCAAGTTATTTGAAAAATATATGGAGATTTTGTGGAATGAAAGCTAAATTGGTTTGCCTCGTATATCAACCAAAAAAGTTACTGTAATCTTAAGCTGCATTAAAAGAGAAAGAGTGAAGAATTTCAGTAAAAATGTAATGTAAAAGATCATAGAAGAGCTGAACTCTTCCATATATACTCTAGCAAATATTTTTAAAAACCAAGATAATGATCAAGAAATCCAAAGAGCTCCAGAACTGCACAAAAAGATAGCCAGAAGCTTATACGCAATGAAAAAATGAGTCCTACTAGGGAAGCCAGCAGGGGCACAAGAGGACAGAAATCTGTGGAGGTTTCCTTGACCAGAGAGAATTCAAGGCTATCTAAAGCCTGAAGCACTTTTTTGGGAAGGGAGGGGGGAACAGATTTTTGTCCATTAAAAAAAAATTTAACTTATAAATAATCATTGTATTTCTTGAAAATTATGACCAAATAAAAAACCCAAATAACATATTTTAAGAAACTACACATGAAAACTGCTCAGATCTATAAGAACCAAAAAGCAAAGCAGAAAAAAAAATGTACCACTTACTTCATATAAGAAACCTCAAAATAAGAACTCCCAGGAATATTCTAGAGAAAAATCCAGAGCTTTCAGGTAAAAGAAAAAAATACTACAATCAATCATAAAGAAAGAGTTCAAATATGAAGAAACTTCAATCAGAATTACATAAGTTTTGGTAGCAACAACCCTAAAGAAAAGAAAATCTTGGAATGCAATATTCCAAAAGATAAATGATAAAGATATACAGTGAAGAACAACATATTCTGGGGCTTCTGAGGGTGTCTGTTGTTGGAGTCTCCCAGGCTCCAATTCTTTCCATGGTATATCCAGATTGTGAAGTGAATTGGCCACGATGTTTCTGCAGTATTACTTTAAGGAGCAAGGGGACCGGTTCCGTACCCTAAGGAAAACAAACCCTGCAGGACAACAGACCTCTTCAGTTCACCCAGTCAGGTTCTTCCCAGATGACAAGTATTCAAGACACCGTATCTCTACCAAGAAGAGATTCAAGGTTCTTATGACCCAACAAGCACGATTAGTCCTCTGAATTACCAACCATGAAGCAATGGCAGCCACCAAGGACTCTGGCCCAAGAACCTTTTCCTACATCTAGACCACCTCATTCAGGAAGAGCTCATATCTTTGACTCTTTTAACCCATTCTCACAACTTTCCATTACTCCTTTTATACACTTGCTTCTTAGAATCTAGCTCAATTTGTCTATGTAGCTCTCTGTACTTAGGAGCAATCCACCTAAAATGAAAAGCCTAAAGTTGACACATCTTTTTAATCAATGTTGTAGGCTACTAAAGCTGAAATAATTTGAAAAAAAAAAAGAACCACATATTCTTCAATACTGGTCATAATAATGTAGACAAAAAAGTGAGTTTGTAATAGAATAGAGGACTTTCAAACATCTGTGATAAAAAAGATGAGTAAAACCTTCAAAATTAAAACAGCCAGGAGGACATGAGAAATGTAAATATATATGAGCAACTGGAGATATTTAAATGGTGATTAAATGCTTACATCCACATATGGAGAGAAGAGACAAGAATGCCCTCAAGGATTTACATAAGGAATTGCCTAAGATGAACACAGGGCCTGGGGGTGTTTTCTTTTCTCCTTCTATTTTGACGATCTTAAAAGAGAAAAGAAAAAAGGGAATAACTATGGAAAATTTGAGGAAGAAGACAGAATTTACTCTTTCTCATTATTGGCTGTTTAATTGTTTTTCTTTGTCAGAGAGAAGGTTTCATCCTGGGAGGAGGGGTTTAAAATAACCGAGGTATAAACAAAAGACCTCAATAAACCACATTTTGAACAAAACAGAATGGGAGAGTTATAATAGATAAAAGGTCAACAGATATGAACAAAGTTCTCAAAAGAAAAATTATAAACTATAAACAGCTATGTGAAAGACTGCTCCAAATCACTAAGATAAGAATGCAAAATAAAATAACTATGAGGTTTCACCTTATATACAGAAAACTGGTAAGAAAATAAAAAGACAAAACAATCAGTTAGAGGGGCTACAGAAAATTATGCACTATAATATTATTAGCGTACCTGTGATTTAATCCAACCATTCTAGAAAGCAATTTGGAATTATACCAAAAGAAAAAAAAGATTAAAATGTCCAGACTCATTGATGCAGAAATCCTACTACTTGCAATATGCTGTAAGGTCACTAAAGACTGAATGGTCTCATATATACCAAATTACTCATAGCAACACTTTTTATGGTAGCAAAGAAGTGGAAACAAAATGAGGTCTCCCTGACAGGGGAACAGCTAAACACACTGTAACAGAAAAATGTAATTAAATATTATTGATTCATCAGAAATGAGGAATATGAGGGATTTAGAGTGGCATGGGAAGACTTTCTTGGCATGGGCCAGAAAAACAATGTATACATGCATTTATACATATATGTGTGCATATTCATATGCATATATACATATAAATACACACACAGAGACACTAAAATAATTAAAAGAAAATTAAAACAAAACGTAGCTCAATGGATGGGAATTTAATTAACCATAAAAAAAGAGATGAAAAAATGGACCACTGCCTCTTCACTGGAGAGATGAGGGGTTATGGGAAAGGAAGATTTTATACACTGTTGGACACAGTTACTATGTTTGTTGGTTTTTCTTAATAATTTTTATTTCTTACAAGAGAAGACTCAGAATTCCAGAAATGATTGTGATATAAAAACAAAAGCTGGGGCAGCTAGGTGGCACAGTGGATAGAGCACCGGCCCTGAAGACAGAAGGATCTGAGTTCAAATCCGGCCTCAGCCCAAACATTTGACACTTACTAGCTGTGTGATCTTGACAAGTCACTTAACCCTGATTGCCTCATTAAAAAAAAATGTTAACAAAACTTTTTTTAAGGATTGGAAAAATAAATAAAAATAGGGGGTTCAACTAAATTATTTCGATACCCAATTCCGATTCTACAACTAAATAAATTGTATGAATCCATGAGATGAGCTCTGCATTACACAGTAGGGCTTTAGGGAAAAAAGCCTAGCATTTGATTGATAGATGTATAATTCCATTACAACAATATTTCTATTCAGCATAAAATATTTCTAGGACCAAATTATTTGCTAATACAGACAATTCCTTTGACTTTTTTAACATCCTTTTTATAATACGTAATTTTAGGGGACATATGACTTCATCTGTGAGCTATGTAAATGTGCTATGATGAGCTGCATTATAAGATTTGACTATATTTATTGCTATGAGTTCCTTTATACAATGATTGCATTCCCAAAAAAGTGTACAAATCAATTGTTCAAAATCCATTAAAAGACCTTGTTATTTACAAGAAAATTGTGTACAATCCCCCATTTTCCTCATTTATATATTTTATAAGTGTGAAAATAATATGTCCTTTGCTTTCGAACACAACACTACTGACCAGGAATTGTCAAAAAACAATGGTACATGATAATATGTACATTAAAAATAAAAGCTGTGATTGTTGAGACATAATTTGAAGATGGAATTATAGATGTTTCAAGCTATTGTAATGCTCTACCACAGTCAGAAAATTCTCACTTAGAAATCTACTACTTCTCCCCAAATAAATATGGATTTTGGCTAAGGTTTCTTGATTATTTTCCATGGAAAAGTAGATATCTTTGTCAGGTAATATACTGAATAGCTAGTATGGGCTATATTACTCTTTTGTGAGACCATAATAAAAATTATATAATATATATATGTATGTGTTGTGTGTGTGTGTATATAGATAGATAGATAGATAGATATCTATCTATCTATATATCTATATATCTATATTATATATATATATATATAGATAGATATCTCATTGTGTAATAGTAATAACACTGGATAACGCTGGGTTCTTAAAGGTTTTGCCAGCGGAACACGAACAAAAGACCACCATGAACATTATTATAGTATATGTACCATCTATGGTGAGGATAAAAAGGTAGGGAAGTTCTATGAAGAAACGGATAAGATCCTCCAAATCAAATGAACACATTCTTGGATACTAGGTGATATTAATGCAAAGGATGGAGTAGTCAAAGATCTCAAGAAACATAATGGAAAATATGGATCAACATGGTAGGTTGAGAGGAAGAAAGGACCTAAGGATATCTATCTAGTCATTCCCTTTCCCCTAGAATTTTATAGATGAGAAAACTGAAGTCCAAAGAAGTTAAGTAATTTGCCCAGGGTCATAAAGAAAGTAAGCAGCCACTATGTACTTTAAATATGGGTCCTCTAGCTCCAAATCCATTGCTTTAGAAAAATCAAAGATGTTGACGAGAAATAATGGAACAGATAATTAGGAGCATGACAAGTGTTAGGAAAGGAAACCAATAGGCTGTGTCCAATTTGGAGACAGAAAAGACAAATGGTCAATAAACAGCACCCACAAATAAACAGGAAGAGGAGAGTGAGGTAGGAAATTACAAAACTCTTTTAATGATCCCCCAATATCTCCCTGAAACAAAGGCCTATCTTCTTAATATCAATAATTTACTAGGATTCTTATATGGAGAGGAGACATGCCACCCAATCTCTGAAAAATTTGATGAGTTTTCACACAGAGGGTAACGGAGAGTCAAATGGAGGTATAAACAGTCTGCAACATAAAATAAATAAGAAACTCTGGAGATCAGGATGGGAAATAAAGGAAGTAAGTCATCAGGAAAATATAAGATTAAGAAAACATAGCCAGGTGCTCCAAATGGTAGGAGCAAGCTGTCAGGGGAAAGCAAAGTAGGCCTCAAGCATGCCACCCTCTAGCAAACTTATGGAGGAAAATGGAAAAATGATGAAGAGGATGGGTAGTTATGAATAGATTGTGATTTGCATCATTGCCAGAAATATGCAAATTTATGAGAACACAGATCTATTCCAGTACTGTATTTAGGTTTGACTCTGCTGTGGAGAAAGCTGAGTAGGTAAGTCCAAAAGCATCAGCAATGATTCTTTGGGCAAGATTATGGTTTTCTAAGAACTTTTACCCAGCAGAAAGAGGAAAGAATTGCTAGACTCCAAGGATTGATTGAAGGTACTTCTCAAAGTGTCAACTACATAAGCTTCAAGATCTCACCAGAGCATTAAAATTTAGTATTGGGAAAATTAGTGTAGCCAACCACATTATAGGTTCAAAGTCAACTTGTGTAATCAGATGCTCAACCTCTATGCTATTATGGAATACGCAGCATAAGTGGTAATAAGCAATAAAATGTTACATGAAAGTAATTTGTATGAAAAAATGGACAAGTGTCATTAATCAGCAGCAGCACTGTGGTTTTACAATGAGACATAAAATGCCTGTAGGAAAAGAAAGAAAAATCCCAGATACAAGTCTCCACAAATAGCAAGAGGAAATTTCTTGGTCAGACTCCAGCATAAAATCATACAACAGTTTTAGAGCTCAGAGGGACCACAGAAGCCATGGAGTCTAATCTCCTCATTTTGTAAATGAGGAAACTAAGACCTATTGGGCAAATGACTTGATTAGGGGTCATACAACTAATATGTGTGTGAAGAAGCATCCTGAGTCAAGTCTTCCTGACTCCAGGTTCAACACTCTCTCATCCATCTCTACATCTTCTGTTGGTATAGTTTCCTTTCTCATTCTCAGCTGCATTTTCACAAAACAAGGGATATTTTCCAAGACTTTTACATTTATTACTAAAATCACATCTCTATCACTTATTAAACAATTAGCTCTGAACCCTCACCCCATTGAGAAACCTCCCTCCCCCACCCCATAAATGCTTGCTCATCTCTCTATATCAGATCCTCTAATTTCCTGACTTAAATAAATACCAGAAATATGGGTTATGCTATTTATTAACAACGTTACAAATGATAAGAGACATATAATTATTCATAATTCAACTTTGAGAAAGATCAAAGCTGAAATTACATCATTATAGCTACGAACTTCTCAATTCTGGAAATAGTCCTACCACTGGCTAAGAAGAGCAGCCAAAGTTTCTCAAAAACTCTCTTTGTAATATTTCTTTGCAAAGTTAAAACAGTTCTCTCAGAAAGGAAGTTTTTCATCCTCTTTTTCACTGTAGTCAGTCTCTCTTGTAGCATGGCAGGTAAATCTCCAGAATGACCATCAAAACTGTTGGGCTGTCAATATCCTATCACCTTTTAAAGATTCAATAACAGTCTACATAGTCTCTGTGGAGAAGCTATTATAGTGGTATATAAAAATGTTGTTGGGGTCTTGTTATGTAAAAATATTTTATGGAACATGAACATATTATCCACTAATGTTGGTTAGTTTCCTAGAGTGATCTACATTCATTTGTTAATCCCCTCTTTTGCTCACACTGTGTTGTTGGCTGACCATTCCAAATTACCAGCCAGAGTTTTTATGAATATCTCCCTTGTCTTTATCTTCTGAAAATCATTGCTAAATAAAGTACATGCCTCAACCACACAAACTATAACTTTTCAATATGAAGGTGAAAAAACAAAATTTTTAAACCTTGCCTCTCCTTCTTTATCATATATATATTTCAACAAATTAATTTTTATATTTCTCAGAGGTCATTTTACCTTTGTAATATCATCTAGTGAAACTTTGATATTAGTTAATGAATCACAATTTTCTTTCTCATCATCTGAAACTTCTGGCACTTTAAACAATTATGGTGTCCTTCATTGCCCTAGATTAACAAATAACAAAAACTGGAGACAACTTTCAATTTTCAATTACATATTAAAAAGTTTTTAAACTTCTATGACAAATAGAAACATTAAATTTGCTAACAATAGAATGTTTACAAATTTTAAATTTTTAAAGAATGTCTGCTATTTGTCTTCAAAGATTACAATATAGTTTTCTTATTTCTTATTTTTATTGAATCACAGAGATTTATATTTGATTACTATCTTTAAGACAAGGCCATATGGAGTAGCGAAAAGAATACTGGATTTTTTGAGAACGAAATTCTGGTTTTAGTTTTTACCAATGTAGTAGGACTGTGTAACAAAATCTCTTTGAATCGTGTTTTCTTCATCAAGAAAATAAAGAGATTGGACTAGTTTTATGATTTACTTTATTCCAGTAGATGTTTTTGTTTGTTTAAAAAAACTATAAAACTTTTCTTGACAGTTTCAAAATAGCCACAGTTGTTTTTGACTGTTGTTAAAGCTACTAAAAAACTGCATAATAGAATTATGTCCTGAATTATATGATCACTACTTTAGCATACATTCAATGGGTCAAAAAGGGCAAAAATATATTTCAAAGATAGGAAGTAGTCATGAAGAATTAATTAGGGGAATACTTTGCCACAATTATCCTACCACCATCATAAACACAAAGAACAAAATGAAAACTTTGGCCTTTAAAAGTGTTTAGAGAATATAGAGATCTCGTGTATGAGTCTGTAAATATAAATGTGTTTAAAATACACACTTTTTTGTTGTTGTTATCTAGGCCTGAGATTTCAAGCTTGGGTAATTCCTGGTATGGAAACTCTTTTCAGTAATACAGATCAGTAACACATGTGCAGCTTATTATTTTAGAGTATTGCCTAGAGGGACTGTTACTTTCCTGTGGAACATGCACACAGCCAGTGAGTGCCAGAGAAAGGATCTGAACACAGGTCTTCCTGATTCCTAAATTCCTAAAATTAAAAGAGGCATATACCATGCACAGAGACATACAAAATTTAGAGTGAAATGAATTATTTTAAATTTAGGAACAAAATATAATAAAGTATTATGGAAGAATATATTTGGTTAATTTCAGTTGTGATCATATAAAATAGTTAGAAAAGGATTTTCTGAATAATTTTAATATTACCAGATAGTTCTCTCAAAAACTTGTCAATACATTTAAAAGAAAATTATTGCATATCCTTAATACAAGAAAAAATGTAAAAATTACTTTATGAGTCTTTATTCTTTTTTTCTTCTGAACATCCCACTTTGCTAGATTTAATAAGTAAATCCAAAAATAGTTTAATTGCAGTCTGCACCAGCTGTCGGATCAGTTCTTGGAATATATGGTCAACTAATTTAAGAAATCTTCAAAATTTTTGTATCATATGACGATGCATAGGTGCCTTAAGATGTTCTAGCTTATTTTCAAGTGGTTCATGCTCAAAACAGCTTTTTATTCCCTTCCTTTCTGCAACCTTTAAGCAAATTTGAAGAAAAAGGACAATTTCTTTATTTCTTGAAATACCATAGTCATTGTTTTATAGCATTATTTGTCTAAATAATATAATGAAGTAAAACTTCATAAATTTAATAATTTGCTGTCTTAAACATCAATCTAAAGGAAACCTGCTATTATGTATTTTGAGAAATACATCTTAAATCAGTAAATCACTTGTGAATAGTTAATTGGATTCCTAGACATCAGACAAGGAAATTTCAAGGAATACCTTTGATTATTGAATATATCTACAAAGGTCTTTATGTCTTGAAAAAACTCATGCTCAGAAAAAAGAGGAATGTAGGACACAGCAGAAAGAAAGTTCAAGAGGTCCTAGAAATATTCTGAAAAGTGTGAATTTCATAAAGAGCTTTTTAACTGATGTTTTAAAAATTCCCAGTAGCCCAGGGCAACGTATAAATAAATGGCTACACAGCATTATCTGGATGAGGGTCCACCAAAGAGGCTGAGAAGAAGCAGTGTAGTAGGCAGGAGTAGAGCCAGGAGAAAGGGTGTCCCCAAAAACTGGAAAGAAGAGAGTATCAAAGACGAGAAAGTAATCAACAATGCCAACAACTACGGAGAGGTCAAAAAAGATGAGGAAATGAGAAAGGGCCATTGGATTTGGCAATGAAGACATCACTGGTAACTTTGGAGAAAGCAATTTTTGTGGAATGTAAGATTGGAAGCTGAAGAGTTAGAGGAGAGAAAGTGGAGGTACCTATTTGTATATTCAGAAGTCATATTCATGTAAGGAAATGCAGGATCCAGATGGAGAAGCATGGTAAATTACATTTGAGTAAAGATCAATGGTGGGAGAAACAGAAATGAATATCACTGGAGTATACTATATTCCCCATGGTCAGAAAGATGAAATAGATGAGAAGTTTTGGAAATGAACTATAATATCCAGGCAAAAAGTGTAATATAAATGAAGCAACTCAATTATCCAAATATTTATGAACTTTCTATCTGCCAAAAATAGTGCAACTAATAACATCTTGACTTGCCTTAAAGCTTTATCTTTCAAAAGGTAGAGGAAACAACAAGGGAAAATGCCATTCTGGATCAGATTCTCACCAAAAAAAGGGTACATGAGGTGGGAATGCTGGGAACAAGTGACCATGCCCTCTTGAGAGGATGTAATAGAGAAAGAAAAGAAAACTGAGGCACATTCTGGCACGCTATCTCCATTGAAGGAGAGCAGATTTCTAAGAATTTAGAAGAATGATAAGTAGGACATGGACTAAAATTCTACAGTAGAAGTGGACTCAGAAGAGATGAGACACTCTCAAGAACAGAATTCTGAAGACACAATGAAAATCGAAGCTGATGAGGAGAACAAACAGGAATAATCTAAGGATAGCTCATCAACCAATTAAGATTTTTAAAACTACCTATATGATATGGAAGAAATGAGAGGTAACAGGATAAACACAAAAATGTGGCGTGATACTATAAAAATAGTGTCAGGAATGCTAACGCTCAAAATGAGCAAAGTAACTGAGAAGGTGAAGGAAAATCCAGAGGCTTTCTTGTTGCTGTTTTGTTTTGTTGTTGGTTTTTTACAATATGTTGGAGAAAAGGAGAATCAAAGCAGGGATCATTAGCACTGCTAAGGATGGAAAGGAAACTAATAACTGATGACAGAGAGAAAGTAGATTTGTTCAATTCTGATTTTGCTTCTATTTTATTGGCCAAAAAGAATGATCTTTGGACTGGAAAGTACAAAACAAAAATAGTAAAAAAGAGTGTTATTACCCAAAATAAATGAGGCGACCTCAGGAGAGCACTGTGTTGCCTTTGACAAATTCAAGTCAACTTGTTGATTAGTTGTGTCCAATTCTTTATGACCCCTTTGGGGGTTTTCTTGGCAAAGATACGGGAGTGATTTGACATTCCTTTCTCCAGCTTACGTTGCAGATGAGGAAACTCAGGTTAACAGGGTTACGTGACTTGCCCAGGGTCACACAGTTAGTAAATGTCAGAGGCCAGATTTGAACTTAGGTTCTCCTGACTACAGGGCTGGCACTTCATCCACACTGAGCCATTTAGCTGCCCAGATCAACTCTATCCTCTGGTTCTGAGAGATCTGGGGAATGTGATTGTGGAGGTACTGTCAGTGGTATCTGAAAGCTCATGAAGAAAGGGAGGCTTATTGGATGTCTGGAGAAGGGCAAATAGTATTCCAGTGATCAAAAAAGGACAAAGATAGTTGGCAAATTATAGGTCTGTGAGTGACTTTGACTGCATTTCCTGGCTAAATTATAGAACCTATATTTAAGGAATGCTGAGTGAATGTCTAGAGAAGTGAGTGACACTTACGAGGACCCAACAAGATCAGTCATACAAGACTCACTCGATTTTGTTTTTGGAAAACCAGAGGAGGGAAATGCTGTAGCCCGCTCGGGTTTTGGCAAAGAGCTTTGATGAAGTGGTTAAGGTTCTTGTGAAAAAGATACATAGGCAGAGGGATTGCACCAAAAGACAATTAAGTGGTTTCCAGTCCAGTAGGATGGTCAGATTCAAAGAATCATCGTTGGTGATCTGATATCAGCTCAGAAGGTTGTCCTCTATGGATTGCACCAACGATACGTTCTTTGAACTGTGCTATTTGACATTTTTGATCAATGGCTTAGATAAGAGTCTTCATCAAATGGCAAATGTCACAAAGCTGTAAAGGATAGTTGACACTGAGGAAGACAGAGAAATGACCAAGCAGATCTTAGTGGGGTAGAATATCAGACTGAATCTATTAAGACAAAATTGTCTAGGGATTAAAAAGGGAATTGGTTTTGTCCCAGATGGGTGCAATGGGTGGAAATTGCAAAGAGTAAAATTTAAGCTCGATGTCAGGAAAACTTTCTTACCAATTGGTAATGGGCTACCTCATGGACTAGTGGGTTCCCCCATAGTGGAGATCTTCAAACAAAGGCTGAATGACTACTTGTGGGGAAGGAGAGGGGAGTAAGCATTTACATAGTACCTATCACGTGCCAGGCTCTGTGCTAAATGCTTTTACAGATATCATCTCTTTTGATATTTTAATAATAAATATGGACACACTGAATTAGCTGTTCTTTTTGAGGTATGGCCTAAACTACTCTCGACATCCTTTCTAGTTCAGCAATTCTGAAATTCTATGAGGCACCCTTAATTTCTGGAAGGCTAAAAGAAAGATAGTTTGGCAGATTTATAGAAGTATCAAAAGGCCTTTAAGAATATTTATTAAATTTATTTATGTATTTAAGGTTATAAAGTTATTTAAGGTTATAAAGAAGAGCCAAAATCATATCTCCTGGGAAACCTTCAGAAAAAAAAAACCCAAGTAACTTTTATTTAAAAAAAAAACTTTTAAAAAAAACCCTTTTAAAAAGACCATTTTTTTTTACTGAAAAATTAATCAATCTAAACTAGTGAAGAATAGGTGTTTCAAAGTGCAATACTCTTAAAAATAGCCCAGTTGATGAGCAATATGTGATAAAAGCAATTTATTGCTAACACTAACTTGAGGACGTGTTGGGCTTCTGGCTAACACTCTATTTTGTCTCTCAACTATATGCCTACAATGATAGTGATTCTATGATTTTCTAGTCCACAGAGAGCTCTGATGACTGAGTATCCCAAACTAAGTAAGGCAATAAACAAAAGAGGTCAAAAGACTTACCCAAGTGTCATGGAGGATGTTCTAAAAAAAAAAGTCCAAATAGAAGGGATTCCCTATTGATGGTGAGGTTTTGCACATGCTCCTATGTGTGGGTGACACTGAACTGTTTGTATCTAGTACTGAAACTCTGTGGTTTCTCCTCACCAAGAACCATGGTCATTCTAAAGTATCTGATAAATCAATGGGAAAATCAACTGGATGAAGAATATCTGTAATTGTCACTGAATTATTCCATCCATTTGTCTCGTATAATTCTAGAGATGGGCAATGAGCTGGGTCCAAAACTGAAGAGAAGGAAATGGGCTGCAACCCAAACTGCAGCACAATGGTCCTAGATTTCTCATAGCTGCAAAAGCTCATCTTTTTTGACACTGATATTCTCCCAGTGAAGTTTTAACAGTTGAGAATCATGAAACACCACCATGTATAAAGAATCAAAATGGTGGCAGAACCAAAAAGCAAGGAAAACACATATGGCAGTTGTAAGTATGAAGCACATTAAGAATATATCAATGATATCTTGGGGTCAACTAGGTGGTGCGGTGGATAGGATGGGGTGCTTGGGTGCTTGTACTGGGACCCCAATTCCAAGACCGTATTTCTTCCCAGCCTCAGAAACACTATCCCTGGTGGTTTCCCCCAGCCCAAGGACACTGTGCCTAGCAATTACTCATGAGTAGGCACCAGCAAGACACTTATCTCTCCCTGGTGTAGTTACACAAAACTGGGTGAGAAAGTGATGGGCTACTCGGGCTCCAGCCCTACGATCATGTCTCTGGATGCCTCACAGTTCCTTAGTAAGCTCCTGTTCTGTGAGAAAATTTTCTCTTGTTGCAGAACATTCTCTAATCAGGAGGGAGAGAGGGATGCCTGGCCCAAGGATTTTTGTCCCTGTCTGGCCCAAGGACTTTTCCTCCCATCAGATCCCCAAGGTCCATACCTCTGACAACTCCTTCACTGTCTGGTATATTCCCTACACTTTCCCATCCATAGCTCCCAAAGATACCTGGACCTTTAGATTACCTAATCACTATCCCCAGCATTCCTTTCCCATGCCCTTTTCCATATAAACCCCAGCTCCATCCTCAGTCTCTCACAGGTTCCTTAAGAACCTTTGCTCTCTGTATAGCATAACAATAAATCTTTGCCAACTTGACTTAAAGAATACTTGAAAGCCTGTGAATTCATTCCAGATGACCCAGCCTTGTACTCTGCTCTTTGAGGGGTCTCGACTTCTCAGACCACAACAGACATAGCACTAGGTTTGGAGTCAGGAAGACCTGAGTTTAAATCCAACCTCAGACACTTACTAGCTGTGTGACCCTGGGCAATCATTTAATCCACTGTCTGCCTCATTTTTCTCATCTATAAAATGGGAATAATAGTAGCACTTACCTCCTAAGATTGAATGAGATAATATTTATAAAACCTTAGCATGGTGCCTGGCACATGGTAGATTATATAAATGTTAGTTATTATTATTGTTATTATTATGTCTATGATAGTAAAGGGAAGCAGGCTAATCATTTAGCAAGAGTGAAGGAAAGTAGATGGACTTCATCTGAGAACTTCACCAGTATCCACAAATATTAAAAGAACTAAACAAAGATCTTTAGCACACTCTATGGACGATTTTTAGAAAGACATGGACAATAACCACAGAGAGTAAGATGTCATGGGAGAGGTTATAATCTATAATGGGGGCAGTACCCATATAGACGGAATTATAAATATATACAACTGTTCAAGTACATATATCCAAATACTTAGATGATAAATCTAAGCCTTAACAGAAAGTAGTTCTAATTCTTTGGGTGTGATGGTTGTTAAACAAGTCATGGGAAGCATTTCTTAATACAGAAATCTTACCACTGCTTTATAATTTTTAATGACAAGCTCTGGCTTATTCCTCTATCAGAAGGTGGCTTCAGGCAATGCTCCTAAGAGAAAAAGCCATGAGAAGGCTAAAGCAGCTATGGAATCACACTGTGTGTAACTGATTCTTTTCTTTCCACTTGGCCATACAGACCAAGGAAAGGAAAATGAGTCAAAGGAGAGGGAAGGGAGACAGAGGCAGGGGTTCACAGGAGCCAGCTCTTACCAGCCAGAGAGATCTTCCTGTTAAATTTTCAGTATGTGCATTTATACCTTAGAAATAGGCAAGCACTACAAATTAGAGCTTAAATTATTTTTGTTGATTTCATAGATAATAATAGTGCAGATTAAACTTAAAATGCATCATGCATACATTTTCCCAGTTGTTAAACATTTATCAGCGTACTTAGAAGGAACATAAAAGGACTCAATTAACTGATCAAAAATGCCTAGTAAGGTTATGACTCTCTTTAGCTGTAAGCCTTAGAAGGACAAATAGACCATTTATGACTGTGATGATGAAAGGTTACCTACTATAGAAAAAAAGATCTGGAAGGACTTCTGACACCAAATAGTCTCACAAAGCTACAGAGAAATTCTAGGAAGATTGAATTCCAAGTGAGGCTTCTGGGTGAGTTCTACTGGACCAATTTCTACTGGGTAGCAATCATAGCTGAATCAAGTACTGGCAGACATGCTTGTCACTTTGGGCAGGTCACTGAACCTTTCTGGGTCTCAGTTTCCTCATCTATAAAGTGAAGGGGTTAGATTAGACTAGCTGATATGTAAAGGCCTTTTGAACTTTAAATACTATTAGCTAACTGACCCTAGGTATTTGACTTTCTCTTCATTTACCTTAACATATATCACATCTTTAAAAAAAATTAGTACTAAACAACACTAGGTGATAGTCTTGTTTAATGATTTTTTTTTTAAAAAAATCAAGCTTCTATTTTAAACTTGGGACAGCTAGATGGTTCAGTGAATAAGATTCCATGCTGGAAGTCAGGAAGACCTGAGTTCAAATCCAGACTCAGACATTTAACCCTGTTTGCCTCAGTTTCCTCATCTATAAAACAGGGATAATAATAGCATCTACTTCGTAGGGTTGTTGTGAGGATCAAATGAGCTAATATTTGAAGTGTTTAACACAGTGCCTGGCATATAGTAAGCTCTATATAAATGTTAGCCATTTATCATCATCATCTTCATCATCATCATCAAAAACATGGTTGGGTGGCAAAATATGACATTATTTCTCTTGGTAAACCATGACTATTGCCTTTCAGAGCATAAAAACAGAACTAAAGTTTTGCTATCCGGTTGGTAATACTGCTGTATCATCATCACAGGCAAAATACTTAATTGAGAGGTAGTCACCTGAGGACTGAACTTAATAATGCAAATCTATCAAGTGATGATATCATAAATATTCATTGTAGTGCTAGAGAATACTTCTTACATTTCGGCTTCACTGTGTTGCCTATGTGTATGTAGTGGGTCCCTGAGCAACCTAGAATGTTATTCTGCATACTGCCATCAGATTAACCTTCTGAAAATAGGCTTTCATTTCATTCCTGGGTTCAAAAATTTCCAGTGGCTCCCCACTGCCTGCAGCATTAACTTCAAACTTAGAGTGGTACTGAAAGCACTAACCAGTTTGGTCCCAGGCCCTATTACTCACATGCAAACTCAATACAGCAGTCAAAATGTTCTACTCACGGTTTCTCTCAGTTCACTATGCTTTCACCTTGAAAGTCTTCCCACCCCCTCTCCACTTAACCTAAATCGACTAAACTATTCACTAAAACTCCCTTGACCTCCTCTGCAGGAATAGATATCTTTCTCCTCTGATTTTTTTTTGGTAATACATAATATATGCACCACTCATTTGTCACTTATCTCCTACATCCTAGCTTGTTGTTTATCTTTCATGAATATGCCACCCCCTCTACCAAGTTGTAAGCTCCTTGAGGACAAGGCCACATCTTACAGTTTTCTGTATTCTCCACAGTGCGTTGCAAAATGTGTTGTATATAACAGGTGCTCAACAAATATTGGATTAATTGATCAGTCCTTTGACCCCTCAACTTGACTTTTGCCTGCTCCTTTCAGGACTACGATACAGCAATAATTCTACTTAATACATGGAAGTTATTCTTCTATAGCCCTAGTAAGCTTAAGGAGTGATTGGAAAGGAACTGATGAGTTTTAACACAAATGTATATGGCATAGCATTCAGGCTTCCAGAGGGTAAATATAGAGAAATAAGATATTTTTTAAAATTACCTGTAAAAATGTACTTTTAATCACTAAAATGATTTTCTCCTTAAGTTCTTCCAGCTGTTTTAGTGCTTGTACAGTCTGTTGTAACTGCTCCTCACAAAACTCTTCTAGAGAGTATGTATGGTATTGGTCCAGCTAATACAACAAGGGAAAAGAATAAGCCTTTGAAAGTTAAACTTCATTTATGAGACTAAGGCAGGAAAAAACATTTTATCTTTTCCTGGTTATAAATGAAGGGATTAAGTGATATTTCAATGTAACAGCTGTAAAAACAAGCAAACAAAAAACCCTTGATAATTCACAGAACTATGTCAAAGGAATAGGAAAAAAAAATGTGATTGCCAATTATTAAAACTAGTTTTAAGGAGATGTACAAAAGTGAATGTATTTAGAATAAAAACAATTTTTAATGCTCTGTAACTCCAGTCTTAGCCACTCCCATCCTCATTGCAGAAAGCAATCAGGGATTAATAATAGAAAAAGGCTTCCAACTGGGAGGTAAAGAGACATAAGCTCTAGTCTCTACTATAGCTAGGTCACCTTAGACTAGTCATTATAACACTCTGGCTCTCAGTGTCTTTTTCTATAAAATTAAGGAATTGAATTAGATGACCTCTAAGATTCCATCCGACTGATGCTCAGTGCCTCAAACTCAACAGGTCCCAATTTGAAATAATTATTTTCCCCTAAACAATCTGCCCCTTTTCCTAAATGCTGTCTTTCTATGGAGATTCACCCATACTCAAAATATAAGATTTGCTTTTTTTTCAGTGTTAGATTAAATATATACTTTTAATTTTTATTTGTGTATTTTTTTTATTTTCACCCAATTACATGTTAAAACAATTCTTTTAACATTTGTGTTTTTTAAAGTTTTGAGTTCCAAATTCTATCCCTCCTCTCCTTCCTTCCTCTCCATCAATTGCCACACTCTAGTGCCAAGTTCTGCAGATTGTACTTTCATAGTATTCTTGTATCTGTATCATCTTCTCTACTCAAACTGCCAATACCCTTATTACTCCTTTTTAAAATTATGGTAGTATCCTCATAACTCATTACTGTATATAGAATTCCAAAGGACAAGGGTGAAGTGTATCATAATTAGATTATAGTTAGAGCATGATCATTCTGTGCTTAGAGTATAGAGAGAGGAGAAAGAGGGTTTTAAAAGTTTTCTTAAGTAACCACAACACCCTGGATCAAGGGATAAGAGGAGCAGAAGTGAGAAATTTGCCCACTATTGGACTAGATTTTAGCTGAAGTATCTTCCAACTCTCCAAAGTTCTAGCTTCAAAATGTCTCTAGAGTCCTTTCTTTATGAATATTTCTATTGCTACCATTTTATTTCAGGTTCTTATTGTTTGATGTATATTACTACTACTTCTTAATTGGTCTTCTGACCTCCATTCTTCTCCCTGTTATAAACAGGATACGTCACAACTAAAATCATGTTATTCTTCTTAATATGCCATTTTCATTACATCATTTTCCTCTCCCTTCATCCCTAATTCTCAGGTAGTGCCCAACTGGATAACCACTTGTTGGGACATGGGTAGAGGGAACTCATATGTCTAACAGAGAGTCTAAAAGGCCTGTCGTGTTCCTTTCAACTCTAAGATTCTAGGAGCTCTTACAGCAGAACAGCAAGGCAACCAGAGGGCATAGGGATAAAACACTAAATGTGGAGTCGGTGAGACTTGATTTTGAATCCTGCCTCAGACACTTAGCAGCTGTTTGACACTGCGTAATTTACTTACCCTCTCTCAGATTCAGTTTCCCTATCTATCAAATGGGGACAATAATAGCATCAATCTCACTAGTTTGTAAGGATAAAATAAGATAATATATAAAAGAACTCTGTGGTATACCTTAGCTACCATCATTATTCATATCATTATTATAATAAGGCTAAAACTCATTAAATGACTACATAATTAAGAATCATATAAAAGTAATGGTAGACAGTTATTCTCCATCCATCCTCAATGAGTAAAGAATAAAATAATAGGCTTAAGTAGAAGCATGAGACATAGGTTAAAATTTAAGAAAAATTTAATAATAGAAAACTACTTTTTAAAAGTTTAATTCCTCCTTGTGATGTTTTAGAAGACAGAGGGGAAGGACCACATTAAATTCTTTTATTTAAAAGCTTTTATCTAGCACTAGATTCTAGGATTGTATATTTCTCTGAATCAAAAATTTCAGTGCCAACTATTTTACAAGGTTTTTATATATAAACTCCAAGGTATAATATTTTTTATTCACTTTAACCAGAAGGATTGCAGAGGGATTGTCCTCAAGGAGTCTGCCTTTTTTGAGGTCACTTGCATTTTCACAAAGGTTCCGTATTTGAAGCAAACATCTTTGAAATAATTTATCAGCCCAAAAAAGTTGCTTGTACAATATCAATCTGGAATTTTAGAAATTATCTCAAAACTCATTTATTAAAATAATGTTAATTATATCAATTTAGAGTCAACTAGATTAGTTTATTTCAAGTAAGTTTTTGGTAAAAATTTAAAGTGGCATTGTTAAAATTTTCAGTGGCTCTGGGGCTTTAGGACTCTATAGGCAACAGACTTTCCATTTGGGGGAATGCATGTCCGTTTGCATGAGGGTTAGAGACTAGGTGGGGGTGGTCTGTCAAAATCTTCTATCTGAAATACCGAGGAGTTGGGATCAATAAGAACTGCTAAAACTATATTTTGCTTACACGCCTATCCAAATAAAACACAACTATTTAATTTTAAAAATCACTTTATTGACTGTTTACTGTGGACACTGGGTGAAATAGGAAGTGAAAGAAACAAAAAGGTTAGCTAAGACATGGAACATGGTCCCTGGTCTCAGAGAGCTCACAGCCAGGCAGTAGGGGGAGGGGAAAGGAGATGATTGTGGATAAAACATGTGAAATGATAAGTATAATTCTAATTACATTTCTCATTTTTACTAACAATACATAGTAAGTGCAAGGAAATGTTAAAGACTACGTACTACATGAAATCCTAGAGGGAAAATACCATCATCAGTAGCGGATATAATGGAAAGCTTTACAACAGAGGGGAAATTTGAGTGGAACTTTGAAGGACAGGCAGGAATTTAACAGTTAAGAATGTATTCAAGGCACAGACTAGGAAGCCTAAGGCATACCCAATAGTCAGAATAGAAGAATGAAATCAACTGGAAAGGTAGGGAGGTACCAGAACATGAAGGCTATTGAATGCCAGCCAAATGCAAGGGAGACATAAGGAAGAGCTAAAGATTTCACTAACTATTCACACATGTAAGACAGTCAGAAATAGTGAAGTCAGAAGAGAGTAGGAGGAAAATGGTCCTAGATTTGGGCCGTGTTGATTTTGAGATGCCAACAGGCTATCCAGGCAGAGATGTCCTATAGGCAGTTTAAGGTACAGGTCTGCGGTCACTATCTGCATAAAAGTGGTAACTGGAACCACAGGAGTAAATAATATCGCCAAAGTAGTGAAAAGGGGCTGAGGATCAAAACTTGGGGAACTTCTACATTAAAAATTAATGTTAGTGAAAGAGATAGATGAGTAATTAGAGAGGTAGAAAGAACCGGGAGAATATTGTATCTCTAGGGCCTAAGAGAGAGTATATCCTTCTAGAAAGAAGGAGTCAAATGCTGTCAAATGCTATAGAGAGGGTAAGATGAGGATTGATGAAGTTCATTAGATTCAGTGATTACAAAGGAGGCCATTGATGTACCTTGAGAGGGCAATATAACAATCACCTAATAAATGCTTTTTAATTCATTCAACCATTCATAAACTGAACAGTGTCCAAAGAAGGGTAACCAGGATGGTGGAAGGGTCTTAAGATCATGAAAAATGAGGCTTGGTTGAAGAAACTGGGGATGTTTAGTCTGGAGAAGAGAAGATATCGCTGTTTTGAATAACTGAAGGTCTGTCTTAAACAAAACAAGATGTATTAGATTTGTTTTTGGCCCCAAAATGCAGAACTAGGAGTAAAGTGTGTAAGATGAAAAGAGGAAAATTTAGACTTGATGTCAAAGAAAACTTCCTAAAAATTAGAGCTATTCAAAAGTACAAATCACTTTGGGCTCCTCTAATTGGAGTTCTTCAAGCAACTACCTGTTAAGTGCACTAGAGGAAGGATTCTAGTCTATGTAGTGTGGGCTAGATGTTTTCCAACTCTGAGATGCTGTGATTCTTGGGAATGTCTTCAAGTATACTGAGTTACAAGGAAAATGCAAATCACGTCTTTGCCCTTTCCAAAGCAAATTAATCGAGAGGAAATGGGCTTGGCTTGTTTCAAAAGAAAATTCAATTTAGTATAAGGAAAGATTTCTTAATCATAGGGTAACTAGGAACAAACTGGGTTATCAGAGAAGGCTATAGACTCTAATCATGGAAGTATTTCAAAGTAAGATCAACAGTCTTAGATCGCTTAAATGTATATTCACTCTTCTGGAAGCATAAATCTGGGTAGATCAAAGACCAAGGGATAATTAAGGTTTTTTACAGATCTATGATTCTATTATTCCTCATAATGTTTCAAGAAAGCAATATGATTTAAAAATCATTAGAGATGACTTAAAAACACCGCCCTGAAGGCACATGAAGGTGATAGACTAACTTACTTTCCAAAGTCCTTTTTAATTCTGTGACTGTAGTAAAAGTCATTTACATCTGTTTCAATCTTACGGTTTAAAATGTGTTTTCCTTTTGAAACTTTCAAAAACATTATCTATATGAATATTTACTTGCTCTTGTCTGTTTTACTTCTTTGAACATTGTTTTTCCAGGTGATAAATGATTTTCTTATTCTGAAAGAAGAAACATATCTTAGGCAAAATGGACTTGAGTTGCATCTTATACATCTCTGTGGTAAGGCCTATTCATATTTGTAAATGCCCTAGACCAGCTTACTATTAATCTATTCAGAGTGTTGCTATGAACTTTTAATACATTGTCAAATAGGGGACACAGTAATGTGTCAGTGTCATCACAAGACCCAATGAAGCATACGATGTGCAAATTTTTCCTATAAATATACTTTGGATAACTGGTTTAAAAATATACAGTTATGCTTATTATTTTCTTTGTATCATATACTCTATTGGCCTGTTAATTTTATGAGAGTTAGAATGTATTTTTTCAATAGAAAATTGTGCTTCAGTCTCTATATCACCATAGTATAGTCAATTTTTTAATGATTAACATTTGTAAGAAGGAGAGCACCAAGAAAAATTCAGAATAACAATTAGAAAAATAATTACAATATATTTATTATTGAAATATTTTCTGAAACTTATATTTGAACATAGGTGGATTTGTTATTCGAAAAATTCATAGCACTTTAAAAAAATGCCATTTTTGTAAAGATGTAAATCAGAAGAAGCTTGACAGTTTCAGGTTTGGTTTTTTTTTTTTATCCTGCCCCCTTATCAACTCTATATTGATTCTATACTTGAGATAGAATCATCTCTATTCTTGGAGACTGAGCAAACTCTCCCTCACTTCTTATAAATTCAATAATACACACACACATAAGGTAGTCTGAGAGGGAAGGTAGTGGCAATTGGGCGGTCAGGAAAGTTTTCATACAAAAGATGGGACCTGAGCTGCATCTCAAAGCAAGACTTTTTGATGCCCAATCATGTCTGTTCCTGGATTCTCCTTCTGCTCTTTCCTGGTTCTCCTCCTACCTGTTTCACAGTTCCTTCTCAGTGTCCTTTGCTGGATATTCACCCAGATTGTGTCTGCTAACTGTGGGTGTCCCACTGAGCTCTATTCTGGGCCCTCTTCTCCTCACATTCTATATTATATCACTTTGTACTCTCATCAGCTCCCATGATTTCAATTATCATCTCTATGTAGATAATTCTTATATCTACTTTTCCAGTCCTAACCTCTCAATCTCCAGGCTTATATTTCCAACTTTTCACTGGACATCTCAAATTGGATAGCCTGTAAACATCTTAGAATCAAGATGTCCACATGGAACTCACTTCTTTCTCCCCAAACCCTCCCCTCTTCCTAAATTCTTTATTATGATTAAGGGTACCATCGTCTTCATCATCACCCAAGCTCATAAGCTTGACTCTACTCTCTCACCTCTTCCCCGATTCCAATATGTTGCCAAGTCTTGTTAATTCTATCTTCATAACTTCTATCATACACATCCCTTTCTCTCCTCTGACACTGCCACTACTCTGGTGCAGGCTCTCCTTACTTCATACCAGAACTATTGTAACACAACATAACACAAATATAAAATTCTCCACTTAGCTTTTTAACCTGGCCCCTTCCTACTTTTCTTTTTTTTTTAACTTCTTTTTTTTTTTTTTTTGCACCTTACACGCCTCCAGCTATTCTGTGACACTGGCCTTTTTTCCTCTTCCTCAAACAAAACAATTTGTATTACAGCTTCGCACATTTATACTGGCTGTCCCCCATACCTGGAATGTTCTCTCTCCTCATCTCTGCCTCCTGCTTTTTCTGATGTCCTTAAAGTCTCAGCTAAAGTTCTACAAAGTTCTACCTTCTGCAAGAAGCCTTTTCCAGTCTTCCTTAATGTTAGTGCCTTCCCTCTGAGATTAGCTCCAATTTATTCTGTATGTATCTTATTTGTACATAATTGTTTGCATGTGGTCTTCCCCATTAGATTATTATATCCTTGAGAGCAGGGACTGGGTTTTTTGTTGTTGTTTATTTGTTTGTTTGTTTTTTACACAGCACTTAGCATAGTGCATGGCATATAGTAAGTGCTTAATAATAATTTGTTGATTAGACTTGACTCGCTGAGCAGAGGTAAGGATAGAGCGCATTTCAGACATGGTGGGCGGAGGGGAGAAATAAAAACACTTTAAGACTAGATAGAAGCCTCAAAAGCACAATATTTTGTACATATTTAGCAGAAAGACAAATGGTCCTGTACACCTAATATTTTCTGAGAATATTGTCTTTAAAATGTAATACATTGGGGTAGCTAGGTGGTGCAGTGGATAGAGCACCGGCCCTGAAGTCAGGAGGACCTAAGTTCACATCTGGCCTCAGACCAAACACTTGACACTTACTAGCTGTGTGACCCTGGGCAAGTCACTTAACCCCAATTGCCTAAAAAAAAAATGTAATACATCTAACTGCATAATAAATGGTCATGCTTTGAATAAGAAAATGCATAATTTTTAAAGCTTTCTAACAGAAGTGATTAAAATTTTCAGTGGCTAAAGGCAGAAACTTTATACTGTTCGGAAAATAAATTTACATTGAGTAGCTAGAAAAGAGTGGATGGAGTCCGAAGACAGGCCCCATTTGGGCTCTTTATTTGGGCTCAGTGATGCTGAGCAAGTCACTTTACATTTTTCAGGGCTCAATTCTCTTACCAATTAGGTGAGGAAGATGGAACAGATACTATCTAGTGTCCTTCCTGACTGTAAATCCCATAACCCCAGTCTACAGCGAAAAGTAAACAAATGATGTGTAACTATATTAGAATCTAGTTGCTCAGTCCTCTCCACTTTCTAGGAAGCTGCATGGCTTTCCCTGAATAAAGGCTCTCTCTTATTTGTCTTACCGGAATTTGGAAAAGAAAGGAATTTTATGAAATGCTATGAAGTGATTTCTTTCCACAAGCCATTCCAAGACAGGTGTCATTTCTACTTCTTCTGTCTTACCTACTCGAATAACCTGAAAAATAAAGAACAAGGTTCTGATTTTGTTTCAAGGAAAATTTAAATAAAAGAAAAAGTACCTATTTACATGGAATTGAGGAAATTATGAATTTAAATAGTAATGAAAGTTTTATACAATTGCCTATCTCAAGTCATATCTTCTATTGTATTCTCCAGAAAATCTTGGGAAACATTAAAAAAAAAACTTGTCTTCATAAATAATGCATTCCAGTAACTAGTGGTAGATGGGAATTTATTTTATTTCTAATTCTTTGCTACCACAAAAAGTGCTGCTATGAATACTTTGGCATATATGGGGACTTTCCCCCTATTGATAGCTTCCTTGATAATGGAATCTCTGGTCCAAAAGGTTGAACATTTTAGTTATTTTGTTTGCATAATTCTAAATTGCTTTATAAAATAGTTGTATCACTTCACAACTCCACCAATAATATACCAGTGTGCCTATCATTTCACAGCCACTCCAAAATTTACTATTGCTATTTTTGGTCATCTTTGCCAATTTGCAGAGTATATGGTGAAACCACAAACTTGTTCTCATTTGCATTTCTCTCATTATCAGTGATTTACAGCATTCTTTCATGTGGTTGTCAATACCTTGCAATTCGTCTTTTGAGAATTGTCAGTTCATATCCTTTGACTATTTTATTTATTTGAGGAATGGCCATTAATCTCATATATACATACACACATAAATATAGATATACACACACACATACATATATGTGTATATGTGTATGAATATATACTTATTTATTATGTTTCTTGGATACTAGACTCTTATCATAGAAATTTGGTACAATTTTTTCCCCATTTGACTCCTACATTTATTATCCTGGGTGTGTTAATCTTATCTGTGCATAATCTTTTTAGTTTCATGAAATTAGTTATCCATTTTGTAATTGCTTCATCACTCTTTTCTACTGAACACTTTTCCTCACATTTTATACTGAAAAAATTAAGGTAAAAAAATTGAGGTCATCCACCATAAGCCATTTTTTCTTTCCTTCTCCTACCTCACATTCCTCTCAAATCATTTCACATAGCACAGTGTTTGGCACATACTAAGCACTTAATAAATGCTTTATCTAAGCCCATTGCCTTTACTTTAGTCTCTGATAAAAGAAAAAAAAACTCTTTACAAAGGCCAGTCGCTCAATATGAACCCTAGATCTCAGATCCTTTCCATTTTCTCTAGCAGGTTGCCATCAATATAATCTTCACTCTAATCTCTGATCTCTCCCATCGACTGGCTCATTTCCTGTCACTTACAAAAATGTCAAATCTCTTCCACTCCTCAATTGATTCTACCAGCCTCACTAGTTATTGCTTGTATCTCTCCTTTACTTCTCTGTTGTCTGCCAACGCCCACCCCAAAAGGCTATACTCAATGCTTCCATTCCCTCTGCTCTCCCTCTCTTCAGAACCTTCTACAATTTGACTTCCAGCCTCATCATTCTACTGAAACTCTTTTCCCAAAGGTATTGGTAATCTTTTATTGCCATATTAAGAGGCTGAAAAGCAATCTTGATTGCCCCTCAATCCCCTTCTTGATCTCTCTTCAACATTTGACACTGTTCATTACCTTCTTCTCCTGGATACCATTTGGGGTTTCATGAAACTGCTTTCTTGGTTTTTTTCCTATTGGTCTGACAGAGCCTACTCAGTCTTTCTCCTTTTTTTAGATCTTCATCCTTATTATATTCCCATACTATGGGTGTCCCCCAAAGCTCTGTACTGGTCCCTTTTCTCTTTTCTCTCTATATAATTTCAGTGATATTGTATGCATATGATTTCCAGACAGGTACAGGTACTGGTACAGATACAGACACAGGTATAATAGATACAAAGCCTCTCCTCTGAGCTCCAATCTCACAGCCCCAACTGCCTACTAGGCATTTTGACCTGGATATCTTGTAGTTATCTCAAATTCAAAATGCCCCAAACACAACTCATTATCTTTACCCTCAAACTCTCCCCTCTACTGGACTGCTTTATCACTGTCAAGGGTACCACCATCCAAGCCTCCAACTCACGTTATTCTCAACTCTTCACTCTCATTCATTTCCCATATCAATGAGTTATGAAATCTTTTTTTTCTATCTTAATATTTCTCAAATATTTTCTTTTCTCTACTCACACAGCTATCACCTTATTTCAGCCCCTCAACACTTCTCACCTAGTCTATAGAGAGCATAGGGTTTGAATTGGGAAAAATTCCTAAAATACAGTGGTAAGCGAAAAGTCATAAAAACTTAAACTCTGTGAAAAGTGGAAGTCTGAATATGGAGACCTGTTCACAAATCATAACTTAGATACCAAATTATAACTTAGACACTAAGTCAAAACTTAAGAGATTATGACATATGAAAGCCAGAACAAGAATATTGTGACTGGGACATGATCAATACACAAATTTATGTTTGGGCATAACATTGGCTTAGCTCCCAAGCTCATTACTAAGCAGAAAACCAAAAATATCCACCAATCAGTGGTGATGCACTCTCTAGCTCCTCCTGCCTCTGTCTATTTACTATAATTACCACAAGGATTTTGGGGTTCTTCAGCTGGGATCCACAAAACTGTCTGACTGTGGCCCCAGACCAAAGATTATCCCTGTTTGTAAGTATTCATAATGATTGATTAAACTACTACCTATAATCAATATGGAGATACTTGGCCTCTTCCTTTGGTATTAAAAAGAACACCCCATGGTTATAAGGGAAGTACAGGCTCCCCAACCAGGGGAATTCTGGACCTTACAGATAGGTAGGTAACAAATATTTATTACCTACACATAGGAAGGTAACAAATATTTATTGGGATAAAAACAGAGGAAAAAAGAAAGACATCCTCAAGGAACTTACATTCTAATGGAGATAAGAGAATATGTAAAAAAGGTAAAGGGTGAAGGAGGAGATAGGAAGTACTCATGTCTGGCATAGTGGCAAAGTGCTTAGCATCAGAAGCAAAGAGGGGAGAGGAGAAAGCAGAGCTAGTCTGGGTCCACTCCCAAAATGGGAGGCCCTCAAAAGAACTTATCAATGGGAGAAGGGAAATGGCATAGCAGAAGAATATTGCAAGGTAAGAAGGTCCCAGGCATAGAGGATAGTCTCAGGGCATGAGAGCAGCTGAGTCATGACGGCAAAATCTATAAGACTCAGCAATATAACTGGAAGGGGAATGCAAAAGCCTTCTAAATGATCTCCCTGCCTCAAGTCTCTCCCCACTCCAATCCATCATCCATGCAGTTGCTAAAATGATTTTTCCTAAATCTTAGGTTTAACTATTTCACACCCCTCTGCTCAATAAATTGATCTCCAGAGAAGAAATCCTGGCCTTGGCATATAAGGTTCTCTACAACCTGGACCCTTCCTACCTTTCCCAGCCTCTCACACTTCCCATGCTACAGTCTAAGACCCAGTGATACTTGTCTTTTCACATGACATTCCATCTCTGCCTTTGTACTGACTCTCTCACATTCAAAGAGAGCTTTACCTGCTCACCCTGTAAGGCCAGGGATATCCCTTCCTTCAAGACTTAACTCAGACAACACCTTAGGCTCTTTTCCTATTCCCCTATCTATTTGATCCTTTCCCTCTAAGGTTATCTTCCATTTATTCTGCATGTATCTTGTATATATCTATTTTGTATATAACTGTTTTAAGTTTTAACTTAAAAATTTTTTTTAATTCACAGTGCTAGGGAATTCTTAGTACCTAGCACACAGAAAGCACAACTACGTGTTGACTGACTGATTAACAGTATTTATTTTCCACATGCTTCTATTATTGTTAGAGGTATGTTAAAGACAACAGATTTATCAAATTCAACCACAAAGATAATATTTTCTTAAACTAATTATGAACACATGAATTGTCCAGCAGGATGCATTACCTTTGAGACAAATGAAGCTGTAATAACCCAAAAAACTTGGCAGGTTCTAGCTTCATTTGTAGAAACCACTTGAATATCATATGGGTTATAAAGAGCTCGGCAATTGTTTCTATTTCTTAGAAGTCCATATACATATTCTCCATCATGTTTAATATGTAATGATTCCTATGAACAGAAAACATTTTATCCTTATTTTGTTTAATTAAAAATAATCTAATTACTTTAAAATCAAAAAGTTAATTAAATCATTTGAAAACATAAATGTGAATTTTTTTTTTCAATTCTTCAAAAAATCCATCATTTGACCAACGTGGATGCTTTCTCCACTAATACAGAGGGCAACTCTTCTATGCCTTAGTAAATAGTTATATGAATTCCTGTAGCCAAAAAAAAAGTCATCTTCTAGATGCCAGGCATCTAGAGTTAAGCCTCTCTGAAATAAATAGGTTAATCCTTATGGAAGAATCTGTATGAGACTGAGTTCAAATTGGAAGGCTTTCTCAATACCAGCTGAATTGTGTGTTCTGCTGGCATATCCTTCAAGAATCCAGGGTCTCTTTTACCCACCAAATGAGACAATTCAGTAGGGCTTTAATGGAGGAAATGTGAAGGACCTACAAAAAATAAATAGGAAAGACAACTCGGATTTTCCAATGATGTTCAATCAAAGAGGCAATATGGTATAATGAACAGAATGTTGGACCAGGAATTAGTCAAGTCCTGAATTAGAATCTCCCCTCTAACACTTATTAGTTGTATGATCTTGGACAAGTAATTTAACCTCTCTGAGGCCTCAGTTTCTTTACCTCTAAAATGGAGGTAAACTTCAGTGAGGTTCAAGTGAGATATTGTTTGAAAAGTATTTTGTGAACCTTAAAACATTATAGAAATGCCAACAATTATTATGAAAGCTTTAAAAATAATTAAATTATCCTACTTATATAGTGCATGGGTTGGTAAAATGCTTATAAAGGTACAACTGTCTTGAATCTATATGACTTTGTCCAAATACCTTAGAAATTCTCTTTCGGTAATACTTGCCATATTGCCAGGAAATTTTTATGTTGATAGTAGATTTTTGTCTGACTCAGAATGTTATTGCTGAACATTGAATTCGTTTAAGTATTAATGACAATGATGATTCAATAACAAATTCATTAACATACCTTCCAGCTCTACACCTATTATCCTAAACATTTATACAGATTTTAACATCTCTTTTACTGGCTAATAAGTATTTTTGGGCCTGTTCGACATTTGAAAAGGTCCTCGTCACAATGTTATTTATTATATAAGAATGACTATACCTTTTCAGATCTGATGCCCTTTGCTGATGTTCAAAGGGAATGAGAAAAGTAAAATGTACCACGTAAACTGCATGGGTTTTATTGACATTGTTATTGTGGTTGTGGCTGTTGTCCCCCATTAAAGTTCCTGCATTCTTTGCAAGCTAAGTCCAGACTCTTGAAGGCTATGCCAAATACAATTTAAGTTCTAACAGTATCTACTAAACTGCAAAGGTTCAGATTAAAGGCCTAGAAATTGTGTATTGACTGCCTAAGAACCAGTCAAGCTTAAGTTTGGAGGCGAATTGGCAACCCAATGGTGCATTTTTTTTCTACAACCATAATGTACAAACACTATACACTAAGTATTAGAAGATTTGTGACATACATTGACTTGGAGAATCAAATCCACATCTTTTGATTTCAAGTCTAATGCTCTATCCATGACACCCACCCTCATTGGATCATAGGGTCATAAATTTAGAGCTACTTCATTTTACAGATGAAGAAATGGAGGTTCTAAAAGGTTAAGAAATTTCCCAAGGTAATAAATGGCAGAGCTAGTATTACAATTCAGGTCCTTTCACTTTAAATCTACTACTCTTTTTATTTAATGTGCTGCCAGAAATATTAGTGTGTGTGTGTGTGTGTGTGTGTGTGTGTATATGTATGTATGTATGTATGTATGTATATATGAATGATCCTCTGAAATGTTTAACTGTAGTGTTCAGGCTTTACCCTAGTATCACTTCCAAGATGAAATAAGTGATGATGAAAGGGATAAAAAGTAATAAGAGAAACCATTCTACAAAGAAAAATACTAGTAATTAGTTCTAAGAAAAAAATGTCTTGGTGGGTTGAGTTTCAAGGCCCTCTTCCATGCTAAGAGCAGGGAATTCATAGTAAAAGGAAGTAGAGGCAGTCTCTATGCCTAAGAAAGTCTTAGAGGGCATAGAATGTAAAGGTTGAAAGGTCATGGCTCAGAGGTCATCTAGTCCAGTTCAATATCAATGAATCAATCAATCTTTAGTATCAATGCTCTCAGCAACATACAAAACAAGGAGAGATTCAACCTAGGCTTGCAAACATTAGTGATGGGAAATCAACTAACTCCAAAGAAAGCTCATTTCTCTTTTGGATATCTCTAATTACTAGGAAGGTTTTACTTGCATTAAACCTAAATCTGTTTCTCTGCAATTTCTACCACTTCTCTAAGCTCTGACCTTTGGAGACAAGTAGTACAAAGACAGATCTATCATGTCCCTTCTAAGTCTCTTCTCCAGGCTAAACAGAACCGGTTCCTTTAACTGATCCTCCTATGGCAGGAACTCAAGGCATTTCACCAAAGTTGTCATCTTCCTACAGATCCTCTTCAGCTTATCAATTTCCTTCCTAAATTGTGACATCTTGATTTCTAGGTGTAGACTGGGCAGGGCAGAGTATAGCAGAATGACATGAGTACAGCTAATGGAATCAAGCATCTTGGTCATCAAGATACCCTGATGAAACATATTCAATTCATAATTAAAGCCTCTGGATCCTTTACAGACAACCTACCACGCAGCTTTTATTTGTAAAGTTCATTTTTTCAATACAAATGTACAACACTACATTTATCCCTATTATTTTTCATTTTGTTAGCTTCAACCCAGCATTCTAGCCTTGAATGATTTTAGATCCTGACTGTCTTACCTGTCAGGTACCCCTCTAAATTTTGTGTTATCTGAAAATTGTGTACATATGCTACCTATCTACCACTAGTTACTGGTGTTTTCCTCACCCACAGTCCTCAAGTTGATTTATATTTACTTATTCATTTGCATATTATTTCTTCCTAAAGAATATAAGCTCCTTAAAGGCTGGCCCTATTTCATTTTTTTTTTGTCTCTCTAGCACATAGATTGCTTTTTCTTATCTTATTTTTACCACTAGCATATCTAAAACTACATCAAATGGCAGTGGTTAAAGAGGAGATCCTTACTTTACTCATATTTATTGTAAAAGTTTCTAGTAATCTTCCTCTGTAAATTATTCCCACTTTTTGGTTTAGGTATATACTTTTTATCTTATTAAAAATCTACGCTTTAAAAGTTTATTTATCATAAATGAGTACTGCACTTTGTCAAGGACAATGTCTACATCTACTTGTTACTAAGTTAGCTGTTCTCATGTTTTACCATCTTCAAATCACTGGCATAAATCCAGCTTGTTTACAAGGAGCAACTCTTTGGATATATTGCTATAGTTTTTTTCTGCTGGAATTTTACATAAAATGATATTCATTAGTGATATTGGTCTATAATTTTCTTTCTTTGCTTTGTCATTTCCTGATTGAAGTATCAGAAGTATATGTGAGTCACAAAATGAATATAGTATAATGTTTTCTTTCTCAATTTTTATAACTATTTGTGCAATATAGGTATTAATTTTATTTTAACAAAATGAAATGTATCTTTAAATTCACCTAGACTAAAAGTTCCTTCCTTTGGTAATTCCCTATAGGTACTTCAATTTCTTTTTCTGATTTTGGATAAAAATCTGTACTTCATGTTAATATTAAATTTTGATATTTTAAATATTAGCAGATAATACTATAATTTTTTAAAAATTCTTAGATTTGCAGGCATATAAGTATGGGTAATATGTTTGGATAACTATTTTTATTTCTTCTCAGTGTTGTGACTTTTCCTTGTTCAATTTTTAATTTGGCAATTTGATTCTCCTCTCTCTTCTTTTTGGTTGATTAAGTTAGCATAAGGTTTATCAATGTTCTTTGTCCTTTTAAAGAACCATGTTTTACTTTTAATCTATCAATTATACAGTGGTTTTGTTCTCCCATTAATCTACTTCTCCTCTAATTTTTAAAATCTCCTCTTTTATGTATATTTTCTGTTTTTTTCTAATTTTAGTGTGTAACTGAATTTTTATCTTTATGGACCTCTCTGTAGCATTTGACACAACTGACCACCCTTTCCTTCAGGATATTCTCTTATCTTTGGTTTTGGGTTTTGTTTCTTTTTGACATTGCTTTCTTGGTTCTCCTCCTACCTGTCTGATAGCTCCTTCTCAGTCTCCATTGCCTTGATCTTCATCCATGTCACACCTACAAACTGAGGGAGTTCCATAAAATTCTATCTTGGGACCTCTTCTCTTCTCTCTTTACTGTCTCACTTATTACTTCTATGCTTACGATTCCTCAATCTATATATTTAGCCCGAGTTTATTTGCTGAAATCCAATCCCATATCAACTGTCTTAAATATTTCAAATTGTGTGCTTCATATCTCAAATTAAACATGTCTAAAACCACACTCATTACCTTCCATCAAAATGCAACCGTCTTCCAAATTTCCCTATTACTGTTGAAGGTACCACCATCTTTACAATTACCCAAATGTATAACCTCAGTGTAAACCTCTACCCTCATTCTCATTCATCCAATCTATCCAAACAGTGGCCAAATATTTTTTCTGCCACAACTGTCACATGATGTCTTTTTCTCTCTACTCACATAGCCATTGATGTATTTTCAGCCTCTTGTCCCTCCTTTTCTAAACAATTACAATAGCCTTCTTCATAGTCTCTCTACCTTCCACTGCAATCTGTCCTCTGCATCAACTAAACTGGGGAAGTGGGGGAAGAGAGCCTTTGGGAACAGGGTCCCATCAAAGAAAATTTAACCCAAAGTAGTCATAGGGACAAAGAATTGGCTTAAAAGGAGATTAAAAATCTTAAAAAAAAAAAGAATATCTGGCTTCCTTCAAGACTTGGCTCAATACTATCTTACATATACTGTGTATTTATCTTGTATGTATGTATTTATTAATAATGAGAGCTGACATTTATATAGCACTTTAAGACTTACAAAGTACTTTACATATATTATTTCATTTGTTCCTCACAACAATCCTGTGTTGTGGTAGGCACTATTATTATCCCCATTTTACAAATGAGGAAACCGGTTGAGAAAAGTTAGATGACTTGTCCAGGATCTCAGAACTAGAATGGATTCAACAACCTGTATTTATACACATAATGTTATTTCTGCTTTGCCACTAAAACTTAATCTCCTTGAGGGAAGGGACTATTTTGATTTTCCTTTGTATCCTGAGCCTTTGGAAGAATGCCTGACACATGGTAAGTATTCAATACACATCTGACTTAATAATTGGTCATTCATTTCTGTGAAGGTTTTTGGTTCTTACAGCTGTGAAAAAGCAACATGCTATTCCCCTTAGACGGTCAAGTGATTCATGTAGCTTGCAACTATATTAATGTAAAAAGGCAGTATGATAAAGAGAAAAAAGAGCTGAACTTGAAATCAAGAGAGATCTGGATTCAAATTCCTCTAACATTTACTAGATGGCACAGTAGACACTGCACTGGGCTTGGAATCAGGAAGCTAAATCTTCCTGAGCTCAAATCTGGCCAGAGATAATTAATAGCTGTGTGAACCTGGGCAAGTCACTTAACCCTGTTTGCCTCATTTCTTATCTGTAAAATGAGATGGAGAAGGAAATGACAAACCACTGTAGTATCTGTGTTAAGAAAAGCCCAAATGAAGTCACAAAGAGTTGGACATGACTGAAAAAAACAGCACAGCATGTGAATAAAGGCAAGTCACTTAGCCAAAATCTCAATTTTCCTATCTGTAAAGTGGGGATAATAATAATAATACCTATTTTACAGGACTATTGTGAAGACTTAAAAAGATAATGCACTTTGTAAACCTTAAGACATTATATAACTGTTAACCATTATTACAAAAACATTCAGTCAATTTAATCAATCTAGATCGGGGTGGGGAACCTGTAGCCTCGAGGCCACATGTGGCCCTCTAGGTCCTCAAGTGCTGCTCTTTGACTGAATCCAAACACAAGTTTGGTCTTGAGGCCACAGGCTCCCCACCCCTGATCTTGATCAAGGGTTCTCAAGCCTTTTTGTGTTATGGACTCCTTGTGCAATCTCCTGAAGCCTATGAGCTCCTTTTCAGAGGAATGTTTTAAAAACGTTAAAATAAAACACATAGGGTTACAAAGGAAACCAATAATATTGAAATACTGTTATCACAATATTTTTAAAAAGTTTCTGGACTACAGGTTAAGAACCCCTAGACCAGATGTTTGATATCATAAAACCAACATCAAGGTGATTAATTTTTTTTATTTAATTTACTAACAACTATAGTATAGCATAGTATAGTATAGTATAGTATAGTATAGTATAGTATAGTATAGTATAGTATAGTATAGTATAGGATAGTATAGGATAGGATAGGATAGGATAGGATAGGATAGGATAGGATAGGATAGGATAGGATAGGATAGGATAGGATAGGATAATATACAGTAGTGGCTCTAGAAACAACTTCTCAGGCTTCTCTCTCATTTATAAAGAACCTGAGAAAACAGTCACTAAATGTTCTGAATTTTTTTCTTTAATAAGCTTTACATTCACATTTCTTTTCCTATATACATTTGGAAAAATAAATAAAATCTAGATTAAAATAACTGAACAAAAATAGTATAAATGTATAATTAGTATAAATAAAAATACCATAAATGGAGTCTTCAGATGTATCTCTTTAGTTTTTTTTACTTCAAACCCACGTTCTGTTAACTCAGTTTTCCAATTCAGCTTCTCTTTTAGTCTTAAAATATGTCTTACAGCATTGTCATCCTTTGGTACTAGTTCAAAATATTAAATAAAGGGTCATGTGTAAGTCCCATATCCATAAATTAAATGATCAAAATCTCTGCATAGCACAATAAACAAATATCTGCATTCAGAAAATATTTAAACACAAATTCTACAAATCTAAATACTGGAATAAAAGAAAGTTTATTTGAAGACAATGTCAATATAAGAGAGAAGGGAAGTATCTTAAAACCTAGTCACATGAGAGCCAATCATAATACCTCTTTCTATTTCTTAAAAAGCTCAGAAGACTTATTTCATTGCTATACGTATGGGTTACAATCAACTACCATTACTTTACATTCAAATATAAAGAGCAAAAATAATATGCTATGTCATAGGTGGCAGAGTAGATAGAGTGCCAGGCCTGGACTTCAGGAAGACTAATCTTCCTGAGTTCAAATCTGGCCTCAGACACTTACTAGCTGTGTAGCACTGGGCAAATCACTCAAACCTGTTTGCCTCAGTTTCCTCATCTGGAAAATGAGCTGGACAAGAAAATTGCAAACTACTCTAATATCTTTGCCAAGAAAACCCGATATGGGGGCAACAAAGAGTTAGATGTGACTGGAATGAATGAACAACAACAAATTTTTTACACTTGAACAAACATATACATACATGTACAAAGTATCTAGTAGTGTCTTGAAGCTAATAATCAAGGCCTCATGCTTGAATCTCATCTCTGTTAATATTTGTTCTAGTCTATTTTGTCTAATCCAGTGGTATCAGGCATCAAAGAAACTTGATGGATGGGGACTATGATTAGTGTAAGAATTCACAGGGACAGAACTGATAAAGTGGGGGAAGGGAAGGAGAGGTGAAGAACATTCTATATTAAAGAGACTTGCCTTTATGGGGAAATGTAAGAACCCAAAGGGAAAACATAAGGAAGTGCATTTAGATAAACATCAGCAGGAGAATGAAGTGATATTGTCATAGCATCTCATTCTAGATCACCCACAGAAAAGGAAAAAAGACAAAAAGTTACAGAAACCGACTACAAGGCTAGCATGGAGTCGTAATATCGCAGATAATTACTCAGACACTGTTGTTCATCCTGACTTGTGCTATGAATTGGGTTTAAGTGAGGCAGGATTCAGCAAAGTCTTCAGCCTCACGCTCTCCTGAAGAGTCGTCAAAGTGCAATGGCAAGACAAAAGTCGAGATGACCAGTGATGGCGCAGGGTGCAGTGGGTGACCTTGGCCTTTCTAAATTAAAGTCTTTCCCAGGTCTCAGTTTGTCTCAGGCAACCCCCATTCGATGACTAATGGTTAGCTAAGAATTGAGACAAAAGAAGGCCTAGTTTATCATCAGAAAAGTATCAGTCTGGGAGAGGGATGATCCTAAAACTTTCTGGCCAAACTGAAAACTGTTATTTACAACCAAACTGTTATTTACACTCATTCTAAGACATCAAAAACTCCCCAATTGATAAATGGTCAAAGGATATGAACAGACAGTTCTCAAATGAAGAAATTAAAGCCATCTATAGTCATATGAAAAAATGTTCTAAGTCACTATTGTTTAGAGAAATGCAAATCAAAACAACTCTGAGGTACCACATCACACCTATCAGATTGGCCAACATAACAAAACAGAAAAATGATAAATGTTGGAGAAGATGTGGGAAAATTGGAACACTAATGCATTGGTGGTGGAGTTGTGAAATGATCCAACCATTTTGGAGAACAATTTGGAACTATGTCCAAAGGACTATAAAAATGTACATACCCTTTGACTCAACAATAGCACTTTTAGGGCTATATCCCAAAAAGATCACACAGATGGGAAAAGGACCCACATGTGCGAAAATATTTATAGCAGCAATTTTTGTGGTGGCAAAGAATTGGAAATTGAGAGGATGCCCACCAATTGGGGAATGGCTGAACAAGTTGTGGTATATGAATATAATGGAATACTACTGTGCTATAAGAAGTGATGAACAGGCTGACTTCAGAAAAACCTGGAAAGACTTGTATGGTCTGATGCTGAGTGAAGTGAGCAGAACCAGGAGGACATGTACACAATAACAGCCACGTTGTTTAATGACTAATATTGATAAACTTAATCCTTCCCAGCAATACAAGGATCTAAGACATCTTCAAAAGCCTTGTGATGGAAAATGCTATCCACATCCAAAGAAAGAACTATGGAGTTTGAATGCAGATCGAAGCATACTATTTGCTATTTTTTTCTTCTGTTGAGTTTTGTTTCCTCTTTCTGGTGGTTCCTCCTATTAGTTCTAATTCTTACTTACAACATCTAATGTGAAAATGTGTTTAATAGGAATGTATATTTATAGCCTATATCAGATTGTGCACCATCTTGAGGAGGGTGGTGGGGAGGAAGAGGGAGAAAAATCTTAAACTCAAAAATATGAAAGTATTGTTGATAAATCAAAATAAATTAATAAAAAAAGAGAAAAAAAGACATCAAAAACTAAACATGGAGCAACAGAGGCTTGGGTTGGGGCCTATTATTGGCCATTCAAAGAAAGCCAGAGTAGGTTTAAAGGCTTTGTGTCAAGTAGCTCCATTTGAATCACAATGGTCTTTTTAAAAGCCTGCTTTTCTAGAGCTAGATTTCAAAAAATTATAAAAGAAAACTGCACAGAACAAAAAGTAAATCGTCCCAGTTTCCTAAAAATAAATACACAAATAAATAAATTTTTAAAAAATCTAGCCTCCAAACCCCAAAATATCTTAGAAAATATAACTGACCAAAAATTGTTATTGGTGTTGTTTGTCCTTCATTCTTGAAGAGGCCCAATAAGGGTGATGTTTTGACTTTCAAGTGAATTGGATTTAAGTGAGGGAAAACTGCATACAATCATCAGCCTTATTCTCTCCTCCAGACTTTTCATGTGGCATAAATCTAAGTTATAATGGAGATCTCCCAATGATCAATGTGAGACTTAATGATCAATGCCAACTTCTGATGGTTCAGATAGGAACCTTCTAAAGAAATCTTGAAAATATTTTTAGAGATTACAAATTTTGGGTAAGAAACCAAAGGCCATAGGAGCAGAGGTAATATTTTCATCATTGCTTCTGATCAAAAAGTAGAGGATTCATGAGAGCAAAATTGATTTAGGATGTGAATATTTGATTAACAGGAATGAATGGATTTATGGGTATCTCATTATTCAGGAGGGAGGGTTCTTGGGTAAGAATAGAATGTAGTAAAAATAAATATTTGCCTAAAGACTTGTGAAGCTGAAACAGGTCTTTAAATTCAAATGCCAGAGGTGATGAGAAAATTGGCCATATATATCTGCCAAGCTAAATATCACAGAAAGTAGCAGATATGACATGAGAAGAAGATTATTCATGGAAGGGCCCAGTAATTCATAGGGAAGTAATAATGACTGTTTCCATTTTCAAAAATGAAAAAAGAATAGAATCTACATACCATGAGCTAGTCAGCTTGATTGAGAAAAGCATGATCTCAAATAAGGTAACAGCAAAAATAAATTTTATTAAAAGAAATAAATAGGAAAATTACATTATGCTTAAATACACTATAGGCAATTAATTAATATCAATATGTATTAATATATGTACAGAAAACGAAATAGGATCTAAATTATTAAAGGAATAACTAAACAAATTACAGGGGAAAATAGAGAATAAATCTATAATGGGGGGAAGAGAGGAATCAATGTGCTTCTTTCAGATCTAGACAAATCTAACCAAAAATAAATATGAAAGAAGTTAGAAAGGGAAGAGGATTTTAGAAAAGTTAGAAATGCACCTTGAGACAGCTAGTTGAAACAGTGGAAAGTGCACAGGACCTGGAGTCAGGAAGACTTAAGTTCAAATCAGATACATACTAGTTGTATGATCCTGGGCAAGTCACTTTTAACATTGTTTGTCTCAGTTTCCTCATCTATAAAATGAGCTAGAGAAGGAAATGACAAACTACTCCAGTATTTTTGCCAAGAAAATCCCAAAATGGGGTCACAATAATTAGGCATGCCTGAAAATGACTGAACAACAGCAACAACATATGTCGGGTATTGTGCTAAGCACTAGTGACACAAAGAAAGGCAAAAGACAGTCCCTACCCTTGAGGAGCTCATAGTTTAATGGAGGAGACAACATGTAAATGGCTATGTACTAACAAATATAGACAAGATAAACGTGATATTTAACAGAGGGAAGAAAAAGAATTAAGGGGGATTAGGACATTGATATGGTCATTGTTACTTGAACTGCTATTATATAATTCAGCTATTTATCTGAAATTACATACCTGTTGGGTCATATCTAACACGGTTCCCAAAATCTTTCCTCAGATAATTAGGTATTTGCTTCTTTTCTCCTTTTTGCTCCCTTTCATCTTCCTCTTCCTGCAAATTTGATTCTTCAGAAACTGTGTACTCAATTACATGGTGTTCAGTAGAACCTGAAATGAAAATCTTATTAATTAAATATGCAGCATATGATATATATATATATATTTATCATCCCACAAGCCAATAGCAAATTCTGAATTGGGATTCTTCTAAGAGTCCTCTATTCTTTTTTCCTTTGAAAATTTTTTTTTCATGTAACAAGTACTTTTTAAAAAGTTAATTTGTGTCTCCTAACACACCCCCTCCCCATTAAGCAAAATTATTTTTTAAATCCCTCAATACATGTCTACATAATTTAGCAAAACAAATTCCTGCTTTAGCCATGTCCAAAAATGTATAACTCTTTTTGCATTTTTAAGCTCATTACCTCTCTGTCGGGAGGTAAGTGGCATGTTTCATCTTAGTCTTTTGGACCTGTGGTTTATCATTGTGTTGATCAGAGTCCTAAAGCCTTTCCTTTTACAGATTTTCTCTATAATGCTGTTATTATTGTATAAATTGTTTTCCTAGTTCTGCTCACTTCACTCTGCATTAGTTCCTCTGAAATTGTCCATTTCATTATTTTTCATGGTACAGTAATATTCCATTATATTCAATATATCACAATTTGTTTAGCCATTCCCTAATAGAAGAAATAGTCCTCTATTCTTCTGATGTCTCTCTTCACTCCCCCACTCCCTGGCCAATTACCATCATATTGGTTCACCAATCAAGGTCATAGTTTGTAGGGTCAGGGATGGGATCCAAGATTTAGAACTGGAAAGGACCTCAGAAGCCATGTACCTTAAGCCCACTCTTTTTCTAGATGAGTAAACTAAAGTCTAGGGAACAGTTATTTTTTAAAAAAAAAGATAGCATAGTTTAGCTTTAGAAATGGAGACATGATGAAAGACATGGGGTTAATTAGGACTCACAATATAGAAAATAAGGCAACTCCTCCCACACAGCAATGCTTCCATCTAAGCATTATTTCTCTGTCAAATTTACATTTCTAAAAACAAAGCATATTAGAAAATAATAAGGATAAGACCTAAAAAAGCAAAAATGTGAAAATGGAATGGAAGAGAGAAGTTAAATTTGATACTTCAGAAGATTTCACTCCATAAGGGCTACAGAGGGAATAACAAAGGAATAAATAAGGAATCATAAAATAAGAGTCAGAATTGACTTGATAGAAGAAAAATCATGAGAACAAAGCAGAAGAAAACTCCTTGAAAAGAAAATGTGACTCAAAATGAGAGGCTGTACTGGAGACAGAGAAGGAAAATGTTGAACTTTACTCTTAACTGGGTTGGGAAAGAGAAGGGTCAAAAGATGGGGCAATATATAAATGGACGACAATTTAAGTAAACTCAAAGAACTTGGAATAGAACAAGTAAATGAGATTGGGAGGGAGAACAGTGGGAACACACTAGCATCAGCCCGTACGATTCCCACGGTCACCACTTTGTTTAAGGTCCTCATCTCCACTCACTGAACTTCAGAAAAAGAAAGATAATCTCTGTCCTCAAGTAGCTTACAATCTAATAGTGAAAGATCATAAAAGGGGGCATGACATTCCATAGATTTGAAAGCAAGGCTGGCTGCTGGTGGAAAATGGAGAGTTACCTGGAAAATTCCAATCCCAGCCTTCTTTAAAGGAAGGCTTTGGAATAAGTTTAGTGCTCCATTCTTCAGCCCTCCAATTCAGAGTGGATAGGCAACTAGGGGAGTTGAAAAGGGATTGAGAATCAAAAATTGAATCAATCAGCATAACAGTAAGATTTAGGTGATCAGTTTATCCTGGGTAAGGTATAATGTTCACTGGAGATGAAACCAAGCAGAGCATGGAAATGGAAAATGGAGTCAGATTCAGCCAAAGGACTGATTTTGCCAGTTGTGCTTACTCCTCCATCCCTAGTGAAGGATGTCTAACTTTATTCATAGGAACATGATTTAAGGCTCACTGAAAGAGGTACCAAATAGACTCTTAAAGTACACAAGTACTTTATAAACCTGTTCTAAAGAATCTTCTGTAAACTATTTCAGACTATATTTAATTTATATCTCTCCTCTTTAAAAATCACATAAAACTTCCTTCCATCATCTTGAAATATTGCAGAAATTGACAAACCTGAAAATCGTACTTCACGTACTGAAACACTAGGAGTCACCACCTCAGACTTAGTAGTTATTGGAGAAGTTGAAGTCATGTCTTCTTGCTGTGCTGTATCTGTTTCTGCAATTTCAGTGGTCTGAACCTCTAAAATCACTTTATTTGGATCTTCTCTCTTTTTAGATTTATGCATCCTAGAATAATAGAGAAAATAATGTTCAGGGTAATTAAATATTCAAACAAAGATTTGTATTTATAATTAAAGACATAGCTTCTTTAAACTTAACATACAATTAATTTTACTCCATCTTATCTATAATTTGGAAAAATTAAAATAAACTGTAAGTTAAAATATATTTCATTGTAGATCTCTTTCCTTCTAAATATTTGAGTAAAAAATTGAAAAATACATGTCAAATGCCAGCAAAGGAATATTATCAAATTGTAAGCAGCTGTAAATGCTTTTAACTAAAGATTATGTTTCATACTTTAACAATTATCGTTGATTATTTGACAATTTACATTTCATAAAAATTTAAAGATTGATCTAGTTTAATCTCCTCATTTGTATGAATGAAGAAACTGGGAAACAAGAAGGTTAAGTGGCAAAGCTGGGCCCTAAAGACCTGATCTCCCTAACTTCCAGTACCCTGTGCTTTTCCCACTAAATTATACAGCTTCTGTCAGTGAAAAAAAAAACCCAATAACAACAAAAAAAACCCCAACCAAACAAGATTAGTCTATACATGAATAGAACTCAGAACTTTGCATTCTTGGCTGCAAGCTAAATGGTTAACCTTTACTTAGCTATTAAAGATATATATTCAACAAGACATAGGACCACTACATGTACTCTTTATCAAAGACACTAAAGTTGTTACCAAGGTAGAAAAATTCAGAGTCTGATCAAGATCATCCCAATACAAGTCAGCAAAGGAAGAGGTTTCTATTGAAAGAATGTACTAAAATATTTTAGACATTGATTAAAAAAACCACAACTTTTTTCAATTCAATGAGACAGGAAATATAACTTACATATAGAGTTAGAATCAAATGGCTTTGCCTTTGCTTATGTGCCTTCTCTCAGTGCTACCAAGTCTATTATGGGGAAGCTATGTTCATTAGGAAATTTTCTCTTTATGTTGAACTAAAATCTACTTTTTGTAACTTTTACCCATTGAGTCTAGTCTACCTTAATGAAGGGGGGAGGGGAAAAGCTTTTATGTAGCACCTGTTCTGTGCCAATACTGTGCTAGGCATGTTTACAAATATTATCTAATTTGATCCTCACAACTACCCTGGGAGGTAAGTGCTATTATTATCCCATTTTACAGGTGAGGAAACTGAGTCAAACAGAGTTTAAGTGACTTCCTCAGGGTCACACAGCTACTAAGCATCTAAGGCTAGATTTGAACCTGGGTCTTTCAGACTCCAGGCCCAATACTCAATCTACTGTGCCACCAGATACCTCAATGCCTTATGGAATACCACAGGAACAAATTTTTCCTCTATTAAAACACTTCAATTATTTGAAGACATACATCTGTGACACTTTCCCCTAGTCTCTTCTTCTGTAGGTTCAACATGTCCAATTCCTTTAAACATTTCTCACATCACACAGCTTTCCATTTATGCAATAAATATTTAATAAGCAGCTATCATGGTTCAAGGCTATTTGGGAATCTTGGAAGGTAGGGCTACAAAGAGTAATGTTGTTGGTCTTTTGTTCTCAAAGAGCACCAATGATATCATAAGTGTGATATCTTGACTTGCACGTGAACTGGATACAGTTCTTAAGACAACATTGTTGTTCTTGTACACAAGGTTCTCTTGGTTCTGCTTACATCACTTCATTATTTCCATGTTTTTCTAAGATCAAGTTCACCATTTCTTATAGCATAGTAGTATTCCATCACAATCATATACCACATGTATCCTCTTTAACTAAACTCAACTTCATAATTCCCAAGCCCTTTTAAATTCCACAACTTAATCCTTCACTCTCCTTCAGCCACACATAGGGATGGTCACAAATTAGATCTCGCCATTACCCATGAATGTTCAATTTCCCTAAATAGAAACTCTGATATTCTCCTCTCTGACCATGATCTCTTACATCATTCCACTTCTCCCTATGTGCTTCACCTACGCCTGAGCATGAATTACCCTCATCAAGACTTAATTCCCTCCACCTCTCAGAAAGAACTTTATCTCATCCCTCTCATTTTTTCACCTCCCACAGACAGCATCACAAACATCTACCTTCTCTCTTGAATCTTGCATCCTTAATCTTTCCTCACCAGCCGGTTCATTCTCTATTGCCTTCAAACATGCCTAAGTCTCATCTGTCCTTAAAACAAAACAAAACAAAAAAACACTTCCCTTGACCCTATCTCCACTCAATCTATATTCCTCTTAATTTTCTCAGCCAAACACTTTGCAAAAGTTATCTATACTCATTTTTTCACTTGTTCTTCTTTCACTCACTACTCAACCTTTTTGCAGTCTCGGCTTCTGATATTGTCACTCAACTGAAACTGATCTCTCCAAAAGTCACCAGTGTTCTCTTATTCCCTAAATCTGATGGTCTTTTGCCGGTTCTCAGCCTTTGTGACCTATCTACTGCGGTCCACCCTAGATACTTTCACCTTTCTGAGTTTTTGTGACACTATTCTCTCTTGACTCCTACCAGTTTGATCATGTTCAGCCTCCTTTGTTGGCTCATCATCCATATCTGCCCCCTAACTCACAGTGTTCCCCAAGATTCAATCCTAGTCCTTCTTCCTTTCTCCCTGCAAATTCTTGGTAAATTCATCAGACTTCGTACAGATAACTCCCAGATCTATACATCTAGCCTCAGTCTTTGCCTTGAGTTTCAATTCCCCATCACCAAATGCCTATAGGAAATTTCAAAATGGGTGTGTCAGAGTCATCTTAAACTCAACAGATCCAAAATGGAAGTCATTATCATATCCCCTGAAAGATCCCCTCTTCCAAATTCCCCTATTCCTGTGAAAGACATCCATCATCATTCCAGTCTCCCAGGAATTAGTCTGGATTCCTCACTCTTCCTTGCACCATCTGCTCAGTATGTTACCAAAGCTTGCCATTTCTAGCTTCACAATAGCTCTTGAATCCAAACTCTTATCTCCACTTATAGAGCTACCACTTTAGTTAGGCCCTCATCATCTCTCATCTACATTATTTCAATAGCCTTCTAGGTAGTTTCCTTGCATCAAGTCTCTCCATATCCCACATCATCCTATACGTTCTTGCCAGAATAGTTTTCCTTGAGTGTAGCTCTGACCATATTGCTCCATTTTTAAACCACCTCCAGTGGCTTTCTATTGCCCCTAAGACAAAATATGAACTCATTTTAGCTTTTAAAAGCCCTATACAACCTGGCCCCAACTTACCTTTCTAGCCTCATTGGACATTACCCCTCTTCCCATACTTTGAGATCCTGCCAAGTTGACCTCTCTCTAGTGTCCAAACAGAACACTCTCTCTCTCCTATATTCATGCCTTTCAAATGACTACCCCACATACCTGGCATGCACTGCCTCCTTATCTCCACCTTAGAGTCTCTTTCTTCCTTTAAGATATAGTTCAAGTACTATCTTCTTCATGAAGCCTTTCTTGATTCTCCTAACCTCTAATATTTTCCCTTCTATATTAGCTTATTTTTAACTATTTGAATTTCAGTATTTACCAATATTTAAAAATATGTTATATTTAAATATTTGTAACTATTTAACAAATATATCATATATAAACAATTATTTAACAATTTGCTAATATATTAACAAATATATTTGTATCTATAATATCTTTTTTAATGTACTTGTTGTCTCTACCACTAAAATACAAATTACTTGCAAGCAGGGCTTCTGCCTTTACAATATCTCTTGCATCCTTCTCTCCACTCACATAGTCATCACCTTAGATTAGGTCTTTGGCACCTTATGGGGATTATTTCATTCTTTGTACTTCTATCCCTAGGACACAATACAGTGCTTGGCACTCAGTAGGCATTTAATATTCATTGATGGATAGCACAGATCAAAAGAGTCAAAGAAGTTGATGAGGGGCAGCTAGGTGGTGCACTGGATAGAGCACTGGCCCTGGAGTCAGGAGGACCTGAGTCCAAATCTGGCTTCAGACCAAACACTTGACACTTACTAGTTGTATGACCCTGGGCAAGTCACTTAACCCCAATTGCCTTAAAAAATAATAATAATAATAAAAGTTGATGAACTAGAAGGCTATGGTGTTTGAGGAGACATCAATGAATATAATGAAGTCCTGAAATAAGAGCTCAGGCATTGCAGGTGAGAGGAAGACTATGATCTAAGTACTGAACTTCTCAAGAAAGGAGGAAGGATGAACTAGAGTCTGGCATATGAGAATAACTAGGATCTGGATCAGGTGAAATAAATGAATTAATTAATTGAAAAGCATTTTCTAGCACATACTACATATGTGCTAGTGCTGGGGATATAAATAGAAAAAGTGATTCAGTCTCTCAAGATCACACTCCAATTGGAGGAGATAACACATAAAAGAAAAGCCAGCTGTAGAACAAATGAAAAGACCCCAAAGTCCTAAGAGCACAGCAGTAAGGCAAATGGAAAAGTCTATGTATCCTTTGATTATATCAGTAGGTTTTATGACAGTGCGCTAGGTCTGCAGAGTGCAGAGAGAAGGTAGATAGTAAATCTTCCATCTCACCAGAAAGAAGAGTATATGTCTCCCATTTCATTCAAGCCCTGTAAATAGTCAAGCAGAAGACTTGGGCAAGGGAAGAGAGTAAGGGGAAGGCAAGAGGAGAGTAGAACCAAAAACTAAAAGTAGGATAGACTGCTGAGCCTCAATGACAAAGGGACTGAACTGAAGTAGCAATGGGGATTGAGGAGTGTATCACCTCCTCTTCCTCCTGGCCTGGTGCATCAAGGACATGAAAAAGGCAGCACCTCATCTTGGAAAGTGTGAATAGGGATGCAGTGATGGCTGGAGAGAATAATGGAGAGGTTTTCACTAGAGCAGACTGATAAAAAAGAGTATACATATTTAAGACAAAATGATGATATTCAGGTCAAAGGAGATAAGGATACAAAAAAGCACAATAGAATATGAGGGCAGAAAAGGATGTGGACTATGGAGAGAAAGAGCTGTGGTGAATGACAGGTAGAAA